TCGGCGTCGTGGAGGAACTTCATGACCTTTCGCCAGAGAGCCGCCTCCTGCTCTGGCGTTGTGCTAACCCCATCCCGCTTGGACAACGGACGACTGCCGGTCTCCCTACGCCACTTAAGCCAAGCGACGTAGCTCATCCGCTCGGGATAGGGAACGTCGCCACCCTCGATCGCTTCGAGGAGGGAGACGCCCTCGGCCTGACCTGCAACCTCTGCGGACATCGCCGCGCCTTGGTTAGCAGGCCGCAGGCGTGGCACACGAAGCGCCGCGCCTTGGTTAACAGGCCGCAAGCGTGGCACACAGTCCACGCGTCCAGGTCACGGACCGCGACAGACAAGCAAAGCAATGCTTGCCCACTCGGGCCGTAGGCACAAGAGCTGTACTTTCCCAGAACAGCCCCCAATTGTGAAGTCGACCAGCACTGGACTTGCACTCACCCAATGCAATCACAGCCCGGCCACGCTGTTTTACGACTTCGCGAGTTCAAGCACTTGTGCAGCTACGCCTGAGTGCGTCCGGTCGGACCGCACAGCAACCTAAGAGCTACTGTACGAAACTACCGTGCTCAAAGGCACAAGCTCGGTACTTGAGCCAAAACATTGGCATTGTTACGAATTGCAAAACTACGCATGCAAAGGAAAACTACTACAGTACTGGCCCTGGCAGCTTTGCACATGCAGCGTGCGTGCATTGACCTGCTCACAGAGTGAGTGATATATCTATCCATCGCTCTATATCATAGGGTACCCCCCCCCCCCCCCCCCCACACAAAAAAAAATGCTCCAGAATGCATCCCCATGTTGCTTTTTGGGTTTGGATGTGACTTTATGCAGTGCCCTTCTCTGTATGCAAAGAGGCACCGGTTCGACATGTTCTGTCCAGTTGTGAAGCTGCAGCACAGAGGGACGTCCACATCCTGACGCGCCCGAACACGCACAAGAATCTAAGAATCTAGACATCCCCCAAGTGGGTTGACATGTCCTTGTTGAGGGTTGCTTCGGTGCCTTCCATTCCCAAAAAGCGCCAGCAGTGGACTTTTTCCCTGAGCATGCCGAAAACCCCTTGGGTCCATGCTGTGATGTAAGTCTCGGGGTTTGGGGTTAGGGTTTATTCAGTTCCAACTCTTTTGTTTTCTACTGTATTCAATTCTGTTCTTCTGCCTCGGGAATACTGTACTTCTAAACTCTATTTCTCTTAATTCCAAGCAGGGCGCTCAATAAACCCCCGCCCCATGTGAACAAAACACCTGTTTCTCGTAGGAGATAGGAGTTGAGGTTATGCCCTAAACCCTAACCTGTCCCTACACCTCAAACCATACCCCTAAATCAAAAAAAATCCTAAACCCCGAGCCCTAAACACCTTCGGCTTTTTTTTTTTTCCGGCCTCGGGTTCCGAATCCTCGTGCCCTCAGGCCGGGTGATCGCCGGTTCGGCTGGCAGGAAGGGCGGGTGGGTTTCGGCGTTTCGGGGTTTGGAATAAGGGTTTAGCCCCAAGCCCTACATATGGTGTCCTTTTGGAGCTGCTACTCAAAATCACTTTATGCCAGGTTATCAGGACCGTGCCGTTCCTTTACAGGCCCCAAGCTCCTAGAGCACTGATCTTTGTAGTAGAGCCGTTGTAAGCACCTGCAAGTCCTAGCTCGAAACTCAGAAGCAACACGAAACCTCAAGATTGGATCCCTATAAACTCTCGGCCAGGATCCGCTTGCGGTGACTGCGGCGCTGACGGGTTTTCTGCTGTCGCACCCAAGCACGCACTTCGGGGTTGGGGTCTTTCGGGCCGTGCCGGGTGTACCCCTAGACCCTAGACCCTTGCTGTGTTTGGACTCGAAAACCCTGGATCCTTGCCTGCGTGTGCGCTAGTTGTGAGAGTCAAACCCCAAACCCTAAACTCTAAACAGCGCCCTCTTCCATGTTTTTTGGGTGGGGGGGGGAGAGGGGGGGAATGTTGTGGGGTTCGACCTCAGGGTGTCGCCTGAACCGCTGCCCAGGATGTACCTGGTTCCGTACTGCGGGGGCAGGCTGGAGGCTGGGCAGCTCAGGGCTTTGGGTTTGCTTTTGAGAAGGCCTTGGTCGTTGGGCTCAGAAATAGGGATTATAGGGTTCGGGCTTAGTTGTCTTGTTGTGTCTCGCCGTCTCACTGTGGGAGGGTAGTTCACCCCTCCGTTCAGGACTTCCTCGGAGTCGGCTGCAGCAGTGCTTTCAACTTCTTTGACTGCGCCGCGGTGCTCAGTCGAGGGTTCGGAGTTCCACAGTAGGGTTTTGGTTTGGGGGCTCGAGAACCAAGGGAGGCGCACGCAAGCTGCTCGACGGTGTACTGTAGTGACCTGGCAGACTCGGATCCTCCAGCCATCTTCTGCTGAGCAGCTGAGGTAAACAACGCGATCCTCATGCTTGGGGCACTAGCAAGCGCGGCCCTTGCTTATGTCGAAGCGGCATCTGTCAGGCGGAATTGAATGTCGTACGATGTCGGGTGTCTTTCAGCATGCTTCAGCATGCTTCAGCCAGAGGGCAACGAAGCGGCTGAAGCACCACCTCCCTAGGGGGTGAAGGAGGGTTGTTCTAACTCGGAGCCCCAATTTAGGCCATTCCCTCCAATCCCCATCCTGAAAGGCCGCCTGAAACCTCGGCCCGAAGGCTTCAAGCCCTAAACCCCAAACCCCAATCCCCAATCCCTAAACCCGAATCGCTGCCTAACTGACGCGCGGCCTGCAATCGCAGCTCAAGCCGATCCTTCCTTGCCCCCGCTGCGGGGAGGGGGGCCTCCTCCGAGCCCTGCGACCGTGGGGGCGGGCGCCCTGGAGTCCGAGAGATTCCGACTGCACTGAGCTGTTGAAGGGTTTAGGGTTTAAGGTTTTGGCTTTAGGGTTTAGGGTTTTAGGGAATAAGCCCCTGAACCCCGTCTGGGGATTTGAGGCTTGGTACTTGTAGGCTCGGCCCCAACGCCCTCATCCAAGCCCGACCCAGAGTTGCAGAACCTCAAATCCTCCAACCCTCAACCCACTAAATCCCAGCTTGAAACTCCCTGTTCTTTAGTCGAGGCTTCCCCTCGGAGTCTGATTTTCTGGGGTTGAGGAGTTGAGAGGTAAGCCCAGTGAGGTGGAGAGGTCAATGAAGTGCGCGGCGCAGCCCATGCGGCGGCTGCTGCTGATCGGCCCCTCGCAAAGGGTGTAGGGTTTAGGGTTTTAGGGTTAGGGTTTAGGGTTAGGGTTTAGGGTTTAGGTTTAGGGTAGTTGGCTAAGGGTAGTTGGCTGTTTCTTCGGCTTGCTTCGGGTTTAGGAAGTTGGGGTGGCATCTCGCCGAAGCCTACAACTGCTTCAGTCAGCTGCATAGTGGGCTAACGGCATTTCGGGGTTCGCCGTTCCGCCCTTGTCCTGTGTTCCGTCTTACACCTCCTAAAGCAAGATCTCAAGCTGTCAGATAAAGTACTTCGGCTGCCGTGGCCAGGAATGATGTCGATATCTGGGGTTTCGAAAGGACCCGGGAGTGTAGCCATGCTCCACATGAACTGTTTGTAACCGAGTTCCGGTTGATCTCTCGAGTGACCGGTCACGCTCATGGCCCAAAAGTGTGCAGTGCACAGTAAGCCCCCCATAGTCTAAAGCTCTCTCCTTGTCCCCTAAATCGATCACAGGCCCCGAAGGTGTAAGCCATAGAAGCACTCCTCATCTTGGGCTGCGTTGAGACCGGTCTCTAAACCCGCCATGCCTCAACCCAATAGCCTCGTGCCAGCAACAGCACGAGTGTTAGGAACTAAACTAAAATCCTAAGCCTAGTGTGGCAATTAAGGGGATTGGGCAAGAATCCCTGCGCCCTTAGAAGCCATAAAGCCCTGCACCCCATCCCTACATCCCACTTCAACAGAACGCCATGAGTTGCTAGGCCTTGCCCTGGGCGTCCGGCCCTCGGAGTCAGGGCTCCGATAGAGTGCACATGGGGCCTCCACTCCCTTCCCCAATGTGACTTACAGGCTGTTCGTAGTGGAATGAATTAAGGCTAACTGGTCCCCGTATTGATTGATCCCTCAAAGCGAAACGGGGGGGGGGGGGGGGGGGATGCAGATGTCACTTTTGCATGTGGGTTGAATTACTCGGGGGTTTGGGGGTTCAGGACAGCTACTTCATTGACTTGTTTTGGTTGTCGTTCTTCCGGTTCTGGCCTGTGTTGTGTGGCCTGCTTGGTAGGGCTGTTAGGGTTTAGGGTTTTTGTAAGGGCGATGAGTTCAGGGAGGCCCCCTACGCCCGAAACCCTCCAAGGTTCCTCAGCCCTAAACCCTAAACCCTAAACCCTAAGCACAGGTCTCATGCAGGAAGCTGACTTCTGAGAAGCGGCTCCCGACCGACTTCCTTCAGCTGGAGTCTTTGGCTGAGGAGCACAGGCACCTGAGATGTGGGGAGTTCTGCAGATAAGGCTTCCTGAAGACACCCCACAACAGGTGCTTTTTCAGCCAGCTTCTGGTTCTTTCATGCTTCTGGGTTCCTTAAGCTGATCAGGGTTCCTGAAGCTGATCATAAATCATGGGTACTCTTGCGCATCATGATCTCCTACACCCCCGAAACTGTACCTTGAGCACACATGAGAAGCCCCCGTGCCTGCATTTTACGTAGTACGCCTCAGAACCGTAGCAGGGGTTTTACAACAAGAACTAACACGAGGTAGGCTTTTGGGTTCCCTTTCAAGATCCTCCATGCACGTCCCAGCCCTGCCATGGGTGGGCGTGACGCGTCGAAACCCGAAAGCCTAAACCCTAAACCCAGTTTGTGGACCTTTCCAACTCCTGACGCGTGAGCGGCGGCTCCTTATCCCCCGGGCTCCAGATCTCTCATCTGAACACTTCTGCCCTGCCTTGCCAAACCCCCAGGCCTGGAGCCTTAAACTCGCCTCGACTAGGTATCATTTTCATCAATAGTACGAGCAAATACAACTACAGAAAAGGAATGCACAATAGTTTCTGCAATGATGGGAATTATAATCAGAGTCATCATAGTGATAGCAATTCCCATGGTCATTGGTGCCATCTTCCGCCCGAAAACGTGGCTTCTGTGCTGTTGAGAAACTGGTCGTCGGAATGAGGAGAGTCGGTTGCCCCAGCGGCTGCGCCGAATTTCTGCACCTGAAGCCCAACAAGCCCCTTAACCCTACACAAGTTGGTTACTCCAAGCCTACACGCCCCCCCCAAGCCCCTGAACCCGAATCCCAAGTCCTCCTTAGCAACAACAAGTAAAAGTCTCCAATGAAAAGGAGGGTGTTGTTGCAGGTCCTTCTTTGCGGCAGGTCGCCAGGACCCCCTCCTCAAGTTAGGGTTCAGGGTTAGGGGTTTATAGGGATTGGGGGGAGATGGTTCCCAGGAACGCTTAAATGGCGTAAAGGGGTTGAGGGGATGGTTCCCAGTATCGTTTTTGGTAGCACATTTACCAGGAAAAAACACCTCCGCCATTTACCAGGCAGCCAGAATTGGAACCCTCTACGGTGCAACCCTCATGAAGGGCTGAACCCTAAACCCCAAACCCTAAACCCTAGCCCTAAACCCCAAACCCTAAACCCTAAACCCTATCATCCTCGTGGAGCCCTTCGGGTTGATGGGCTGAGGGCCTAGGCTCGAGAAGTGTGATCTTGAACACCTTGAAAAGCAGGGCAGCTGTAGCCCAGAAGGGGTTTAGGATTTAGGGTTTAGGGTTTTAGGGAGTGCCAGTGAGAGAGAGAGAGAGAGAGAGAGAGAGAGCGAGCGAGCGAGCGAGGGTTTTGGAGAGAGAGGGTTTTAGGATTTTAGGGTGTTGGGGTTTAAGGATTTTAGGGTTTTGGTCTTGACGACAATTTTGTTTCGACAGCTCGTCGAGTTGTCGTGTCCAGGAGCACCGAACCAGGATGGACAGCTACAGGAGCCTCCGGCGCCTTGGCGACACATGGCAACGGAGGCGCAATGGAGGCCGACCCCGTACGTTTAGAGGTTGTATGTTAGGGCTTGGGGTTTGTTAGGAATAAACAGTCTCAGCTCAGGCAAACCATCACGAAGCTGGGCAACCAGGCAAGATGCGCAGCAGTAGGGTTTTTATTGGAGTTCGGGCGAGGAAGAAGAGAGACAGAGTTGACCCAACACTGCTGCGTGAAAGTTTGACTTGGTGTTGGGGAGTTCTACCCCAGCCATGAAAGCGTGGTCGAGCACATCGGGGGTAGTTGCCCAGACGGGCTTACAAGTTGGATGGACCTCATTTTGGGTTTGCCGATGTGTTGGCAGTGCCGCAACGTCATGAAACCCCTAAGCCACCATCACCCGCTCGAATGCAGCCGTAAATCGGGGTCTTGCCGCAGTATCCCTAAATTCCGGCAGTGTCACTGCGCGGCCCAGTCATGCCTGAAAATAACTTAGGGATTTGGGGATTTTCGATTTTGTGGGTTTCAAGATAGAACTGGGGGGTTTTGGGCTTAGGGTGCTTTAAGAATACTCTCGCGAGGCGCACCCCGGCGACGGAGCCAGCTTGGCCGTCTACGTCGACTCGGCGCTCCTCTTGCAGTGTCGGTTTTAGTGGATGTCAGGTTCATTTGAGCAAAAAAAGGTTTGGTTAGCGTCGTACACGCCAAGCGCGAAAGCCACTCGACACCGCAAGCAGCTTGCTCAAAAAGGTCTTGACGTCTCTCCCAGTTCTGGAGCAGAGCGGCTTCATCTGCCGTGATTCTCTCAAACCTTTAAAATCAGCGCCGAGAGCACATGCGGAACCCGAACCCTCGAAACCCTAAAGCGCACGAGCAACCGCTGGAGGTGAAGAACCTGCTCAACACGTCGATGGTCCAAGCCATCCACTCCCAGTTCGAGGCTGGGCTGCTTCTTTGCTTTCGCTCCCGAAAGCACCTGCAGGGTTGTTGGTTTAGGGTTTAGGGAGTATGGGGGACGTCGCGAGAGGCCTGTTGCAAAAGGGACTACTTGCGCTAAGCAGAGTTTTGCACGCAGCACAGCCTGGCAGCAAAGAAGCCCAGTAGCAGAAAAGGACTTCTTGTGCATCAAAGGCTCGTGTTGTGCATGCCATGTTTGCTCATGACCTGCCCGGCCGAAGCAGCAAGCCCGGCTGCAAAAAAAAAGGATTACTTGTAGACTTGTCCCACATGTTCAGCTTCAAAAAGGACTACTTGTATGTACCAGGGCTTGACAGGGCAACAGAAACTAGTAAAAACACGGGGTTGGTCTAAACCATGATCCCTAGAGGCTTCTATTTGGGGTAGTCAGAGAGGGACAACATATTTGGCGAACTGCCATGCAAAGACCTTGTAGGGTGCACTGTCCCTCACCTCCGACCCTAGGAACCTACAACAAGCGTCATAAAAACTCAACTTGGGATGCTCCCCCTTGTACTAACAGTCCTTAATGGGGATTCTAATGGTGGTACTATAATGCCCATGAAGGACTGTTAGAAAAAGGGGGGTCATCCCAAATCTCAACATTCAAAGCAGCAGGTTGCCCTTGCCCAAGATACTGCCAGGCGAGGCAAGACCTTCCTCTAACAGAAGCCTCGAACTCCTGCGCCCGAATTGGTCTAAAGTCCTTGCTGAAGCAACGCTAAACCCTAAGCCCTAAACCCAGCAAGGCCGACAAAGAGATCTTGAAGAGGGCCGCCAAGAGCGCTCTGTCTGACTCGGATTTAGGGTTTATAGGGTTTAGGGTAGGTCCTCGGGACATCTTGCATTGCCTTTCAATGGGTTTTTGAGAGGATCTTTCTGATGCTTATTTTCAAGAGGGGTGTCAATGGCCGACCTTGCCCCCAAGCCGGGAAGCGTCCCGGCTTCGGGTTTATACACACAGGGTACAGGGTCTCCTGTCCAGAGCCCTGATGCAAAAATGGGTTTAGGGTCCTTTGTTGAAAACTCTGCAGTTTAGAGTCTGCAAGTTACCAGGCGTAGGGTTTGGAGGCTGAGGCCCGCCTTGTTCATGGCAGGTTTCCACCCTGTCGAGACATCGTATTGACGTTTGGCATTACCTCTTGGTCCAGAGATCCGCGCCACCTGAATTCTGGCGCTGCGGGCCTCTCCTACTAAATTCCCATACCCTGAAGAATCTGTGGGACCTCTGACGCGCGACTGGACTACGAGGTTTTGCCATCCATGTGGTCAGTTCTCCACCTCTAAATCATGGAAATCATGGCTCCCCTTTCGGGGGTCCCTGTCATGTTCTAATCCTGTCTCCTATCGAATGAGAATTCTTCGAGAAGGAATCCTGATGCCGAGAACTGACGGGTGGTCTAGCGGAAATCCTGGAACTGAACTTGCGCAAAGCCCTAGCCCTTCCAGCCGAAGCTGGGAGGTACCTGAAACCCTAAATTTAAGCCCTAAACCCTAAACCCTAAACCCTAAACCCTAAACCCTAAACCCTAAACCCTAAACCCAGGCTTCTCCTTGTGCGACACAATCCTGGACGCTGCGCTGGAGCATCCGAACGCCATCCGAGAAGGGACGGGCCAGCAGCTTGTCTGGCGGGGGTATAGGGTTTAGGGCACTAGGGGCTCAGCTATGCCTAAACCCTATACACCCGGCAGTGCTGCGACTAGTCGGTTTCAGCAAACCCCGGAGGCAAGAAGGGTTTGGAGCTTTGCTCTAAACGGCAGACACAGCAGCAGAATCGATCTTGAAGCCATGGGCCCAAGACAATGCCCGTCGCTCACCCTGAAAGATCCCGGAAGCAACCGCCAAGACTCTTAAAAGAGCCGACATGGTTTAGGGTTTAGGGTATAGGTTGTTGGCTCGGTTTGCAGGATTTCATGGCTCGGGGGAGTTAAGGGTCCCCATTATATGCCTCGCTACTACATGCCCTTTACGCCACTATGTAGGGACCCTAAACCCTAAACCCTAAACCCTAAACCCTAAACCCTAAACCCTAAACCCTAGTATGTTTCGGGGCTTCTTGGGTTTAGAGCTTTGGGCATGCCGTGGCCCAGGATGATAGCTTTGGCAGCCCCAAAAAAGCTGGAACAATAGACCCTCGAATGCTTGGTATAAGAAGGGTGATCAGGGGATGGGCTCATTATTCAAAAGAAAAAAAGGGTTGAGAGAGAGTCTTTAGGCCTGACCCTGTTCGACAGGTACCGCGGCCTTGCCAGGCTAAAGGTCAAGCACAACGAGTGCCGCGGACGATGCCAGGCTGAGTGGGGGCTGACGCGGGAGAGTTTGTGGGAGCAAGTCACCGTGGGGACGATGGGTTCACCCTGTCATGTTGGCGGCAAGCTCAGAATCAGCTGGACGGCTTCTCAGCAAGGACTGTTGGAATTCGGTAACCTGTGTAGTTAACCCCTCCAAGGGTTTTCCAAACCCTCAGCCCTGAACCCTAAACGAGAGAACTGCGCGCCCAGCCCTAAACCATGAACCAATGTCGGAGTGGCTGGCTTCTTCCATGCTCAGCTATCTCGAATCTCCACAATGAATCGGAATCGCGACTCTAGCTGAGGACAGGAAGAGAAGAAGATCCAGTACGACATGTGCAACGACCAGATCTTCGACTGCACCATAAGGGGCAGTATTGCCTTTGAGGGAGCCGTCGGGGTCTTTAGAGTTCTCTCAAGTTCACACATAGCCCCTACTTATCCGTAAACCTCCAATACAGGTTAAAGGTTTTGCAGTCGGCTTCAGCTGGAGTAGGCTGTTTTGCTCGTTGACGTACAATGCAATCAGTACACCATCATGTCTCCAGGATGTCGTCAGTTGTGCCCTAAACCCTAAACTTGAACCCTAAACCCTAAACCCTAAATGAAGTTTCATCCGGATGGGCATGTATCGCGTGGGCTTCCCGACTCCCTCAGGCTGTGTAAGCCGCATGCCCTCAATTGGCGTAGGGAACTCATTTAGGACCTTGACAGTCTGAGAGCTTTAACCTCCCAACTCCCTACCGACGCACGCCCCGCGAAGGAAAGAGAACGAGAAGCAGCTGATGACTGCCTCATGCGAGCAGAACTTTACCAAGCCACTCGGCATAATTGAGAAGGCTGCGTCTTTTGGGGGGGAAATATTTGCACCAGACCTCGGCACGCTTCTTCCCTCTTCCCATAGCCCCTCAGACACAATGAAGCAACCCCAAACTCCAAAACCCAACCCTAACCCCAAAACCCAAACCCTAAACCTTCGTCCGCGGCTAGGCGGGTGGCAGAAGTTCGTGCCAAACTCGGGGTTTAGGACAAGTGACCGATGCCAGTCAATTTGCCCACTTTCTGAGGCCCCGAGAGGCCCGGACGTTTTGAGGAATTCGGGGTCCATAGCTCTCAGGGTTTAGGAGTTCAGGGTCTGAGGGCTAAACCCTAAACCCTTAGCCCCCAAGCTACGGACCCCCTCCAGGGCCCTCTCAACAGCTCAACTGCCTGCGCATAGGTTCTACAGCAAGGTGGACGCTCGACGGCACACCGTGGGCCTCTGCTTTTCATCATGGGGTTGGGAGGGAACCTTGTGGGTGACAGCTCTGGGTATCGGACTCTTTTCCCGGACTGGTGTGGAGAGTATTGTGCTAACCCCAGGCCCTGCACCCTAAATTTCCCCTCAGCCCGAAATCCTGAGTTTCGGAATCCTTCCCTGCGAGAGTCGAAACCATCAGAACACAGAGCCGCTGGCCTCAAAGTTCGACATCCAAGCCCTAGATCTATCTAGGGCCTCAGGGTTTAGGATACCGTAAGCCCTAAGCCCTAAGCCCTAAGCCCTAAACCCTAAACCCTAAACCCTAAACCCTAAACCCTAAACCCTAAACCCTAAACCCTAAACCCTAAACCCTAAACCCTAAACCCTAAACCAAGGCAGAGTGAGCGGCTAAAACCCTAAACCGAAAGAACCCTAAACCCTAAACCCGACGACAACCCCCCTGGGCCGCCAGGGTGCGACTACCACGGGCCAGTGGGAAGCCACGTCTCTTGGCAGATGTGTCCACGAAAGCTCGTGGGCCAAGCCTTAATAAAACTCCCTAAACCCCTATACCCTGAACCACAGGGAAAGGGTTTCGGAGGATGCTGCCACCTTACCACCTTTGAGTTTGAGGTGCAGAGCGCTAGCTCAAAACCAACATGAGGTGCGACACAAAGCAGTCCACCTACCAGCAGAATCCTCCTGCAGACATCGCGCTGATCCACCAGCATCCCGGCTTGAAACGTGCTGTGGAGAACAGTGACTGATGGCGGTTCTCCACATGATGCAACATGATTGCAACTGTCGCCCGACATGTGCTGTGTAACACTGTGGCCCCGGGGCTTGGTTCCCGACGCGTTGTTAAAACACCCACATGCGGTGTTGTCATCGCTTCTGACCGAGTCCCTCCATTGGCACGGTCGACGTGGAAGGCCCATGGTTTTGTTTCCTCAGGGCCGACGTAGGATGGGTGGGTATTTGGGAGCCGGGGGAGAAATTGCGAGCTGGGGTTAGCTCTTTGGCGAAATGGGCAGCGAACGTTTCGATATGTCTTGTTGCCGTTGTGGTTCAAAAGCTGTCTTCATCAAGATCTGGTGAAGCATTTGCGAAGAGCCTTGGAGCAACAAATGCGGATAAGCAAGATACATGCCTTATGTTCTACGCGCAAGCGGACATGCAAACTTAGCATATGGCAGTTGCAGCGTCAGAGGAATGGGTGGGTGAGGACATCTGTCTCTTCCCGTGCGAAGACATCGAGCCAGAGCCGGGAGAAGCACTTGGTCATGAGCAGTTCGATGTCGAGCTCATGAAGGCATGCTGCGTCCATGTGGGCCCACACCAAGTGAAGCTCTACATGGCCAAGCAGCGAGCTGACGACTTGTCCCCGGACGACCTGGGCCTTCGAATCTGGCCAGGAACGCACGCGATGGCCTTCCTGCTTCGTGCTTTGTTAGGAGAAGTTCTTCTGCATTTTCAGAACCCCAGAAACTTGAGCCTTTTTCGTGTATGTAAGACCTGCAGAGCTGGCATTAAGGCTTCTGGGGCTTGAGCGCCAGGGTGCCCTGGCTGGTCGCTCTGTGCTCGACGTGGGCTGCGGGACCGGATTCATTGGCATCCTGGCGCAGAAAGCTGGCTGCGCCGAGTCTGTTCTGTCGGACCGACCTGGGCGTGCTCTGTCCACGGCTCGGATCAATGCCCTGGCGAATTCCGGAAGGGACCCGGACACAATCCAGGTCAGGGAGCTGTCGTGGGGCCCAGGCAGCGTGGACGAGACGGAGGGCGCCGTCTACAGCCTCTTGCTGCTGTCTGAAGTGTTGTATGTGGCGCAGCCCACATGTGTCCCCTGGAGCCTCGACGAAGAGGATGTGGAAGCCCTCGCCAAGCTTACAAAGTTGAAGCTGAGTCCCGAGGGAGATGCCTACATCACATATGGGAATCTGAGTCGCCCTCGGAGCAGATTTTGTTCTTCAAACCACGGTACCTACGGTACTAGCTGTAGCCCCCAGTTGCAACAAATAGTTCGCCCCTAGCTACATTCCTAGAAGCAGCCTTCCCTCTAAAACCCTAAATCCCTACTAAAAGCCCTCGCTGAGCAGCCGAGGAACCGAGAGGCGGGCGGTACCGAGCTGGTCCAGGCGGTCGCCGAGGCTGTTGGGCTCAGTTTCCGGGAGCTGCCCCTGGAGACTGGGCAGGCTTGGGATTTGATTTTATTTGGGGTTTTGGGGTTTTGGGGGGTTTTAGTGTTGTTTCTGTTTAGGAAATTTTAAGTACAAGTGTTTCCCTTCCGGGGGTAAGGAGAGGAAGGTCGTCGGAGGGTTTTAAGGGTCCGAAAATCTAGAACCCAGACCCTAAACCCTAAACCCTGGCCAGTCTTAGGATAGCATCGTCCCTGAGGAGGTCCTCGAGGGCCCGATGCTGGGCCGATTTCATGGGGCAGGGTAGCTGCAGCAATAGTCGTAGATCATAATCCTACTAGCTGAACGAGCACACACTACACTTTGTCTGGGTCCTTGTTGGTTATATTTTTGCATCTTAGTCCTATTAAATTCCCAATAAGGAACAATGGTAGATGTTTATATGACCCCAACAAGGAAGCAGTTTTGTGGTACTATAACGCCCTATAGACCTGAAAGTGTACACTATGTGGGGCTTAGGAACTCAGCAGCTAAGTAGTCACTAGGCCCTCGGGATATTGCATCCCTTATTGGGTTTAAGAGGATCAAGTTTAAGAACATTTTCCGGAGGGTCTTCAGGGCCATAAGAGATCATAGTATCGCAATTAGTAGTAAATAACTAATGATATTTGGGATTACGATATTAGGGATACCTTTCTTGGGTCCTTATTCTAAGGGGATCCTACTATTTGGGGGTCTGTTTGGGGGTCCCCTATTTTCCCAATGGTGCCTACTCTTCGGCTCCAAGAGTGCTCGAGGCACACGGTGGCCCTGCGCCGAGTGCGGGTCTTTCACCTCCGTCACGCCCCCGGCCGCTGAAGAAAAGTGCGCATTGGCCCTCGGACTCCCTTCGCTCCAGCGCCGCATGTGATCCACTTCCCCCTACTTGCGACATGCTCCTCCTGCCGTGCTACTACTGCTTGAAACATCTGCGGGAGGGTATGGGTGTTTAGATCAATCCCGAAACCCGAAGCATCCTAGCCCCAAATCCCAAATCCTTAGACATAAACTCCAAACATTAGCCAAGAACACCTTGCCTTCCTTCAAGAGTCGAGACGTGGGGCTTGATGCCGACCCAAAACCCCAAGCCCTCCTCTCCCTTCAGAGCCGGCAACCTGCGAGTTTGTAGGTTGCCCAAGGGTTTAAGGGTTTAGGGTTTAGAGTTTAGGGTTTAGGGTTTAGGATCCTGTAAGATCCGCAAGAACGTAGGTGTTGGGTTTTGAGGCAAGTCACAGCCTTTCAACCGATCGTCAAAAGGGTCGACCTGGTTTCAACTTCCGTGTCCTTGGAAAATGTTGACCACTACTCGGTGGGGGGTATCAGGAGGGGCGTGTTGGCAATGAGTTTTGGGGCTGTGGGTTTGCGTGGGTACCTCACAGACCATGTGCCTTCAGATGCTTAACTCTAACAGAATAGGGGCTAAACCCTTGAATCTTGAAGCCGACAAACACTGCGCAGGCTACCTCATCGAGCAGTTCGACTACTTCTCGACCATGGTGTTGCCACCTCAGACTCGGACGCATTGCCATTACCATTACTACTACCCTGCAGCCCTGAAGCCCTCGACCATGGTCCTCAACTTTTCCGAGGTCGGACTACAAGTATGCGGAGAAGCTCTGTTACAACCGCACGAGGACTGGGAGTCTTAATGTTCGCATGACGCTTGGAGCTCGTCAAAGCCTGAATTACTTGGAGCAAACCAGAAACTGAAGCCCTAAACCCTGCACTCTGGGATTCCTTCTGGTCTCTCTGGCAGGACGTTCAATGACACTCGCGTTAAATGCGCGGCGCTGAGTTGGCTTTAATGTTGGTTCAGGTTTAGGGTTGCGGCATGCGGCATTGGGATTTTTTGCTCCAAGAAGCTGGGTCATGCGTTCATTGCAGGGGATTCAACTGCAACGAAGGGGACATGCAACGCTGTCCATAGCACGACTTAGTCGCGCGCCGCAACAACCCAGCCCTAAATCTTGACGCCCCGCCCCAAATCTGGCCAAGAATATTCCACCCCCGAGCCCTGACCTCCATCGCGGCCTCGGAGGCGAGAACCTCTTCCAGGAGCACGGCGACATCACTGCCGAGTGTGACGCTACACAGGCCAACACTTGAGCAATCTGCAAAATCTGGTTTGAGGCGGCGAGATAGGCACAGAGGGCCTAGGAAAGCGAACGCGTCACGCAGTCTACTGACGATCTATTTGGCCCTTTCCTGTTTTTTGCTGCCGACTTTAGCAGTGAATCCATCACGTACCGGATGCTCTCCTCCCCCCGACATGTCCGTCCCACCCATCTCTTCCTCATCTCGGTTTCTGCCCCGATGAATATCTTCCAGGGAAGGGTCTTTGCTCGCACCCAGTTGGCAAATGCAGACGGGGTTGGTTTACAGCCTGGGCACATATTCGGATCTTAAGAACACGTAGTTTGCCCTGACAGGACACACTCGATGCTGAGTCTTGCTCGCATCCTGGATGCAGGTGGCGTGCGGCTGGCAACAGCCTACCGACATGGTAACTCCAAACCCATACCTCAGTAGTTGGACCCCACGCCCAAGACCCGTTTTCTACCAGTTTTCTACCTGAAGTCTCTTAAGCTCCTCAAGGGAGGGGAATCTAAGGGTGGGTTGGTACTTAGGAAACCTTAGGGGCGCTTCGCGAGTGTTAGGGAGCACTCGGGAGTGTCCTAGCGAGTATTAAAGCGGCGGTTGAGGACATTGCAATGGTTCCTTCTCCTACACCCCGGGACCAGGGCGCAAACGCATGACTATCTGCTGGCATGAGGGTCGAACACTTTGCCTCAATCCGCACATCTAGTTTTAATACACACACACACACTCTCTCTCTCTCTCTTTCTTTCTGACTTCTTCATCGTATATACATACATATATATATATATACATATATATATATATATATACATATATATATATATACGGGGCTGAACCATATATATGCATTCGTTGTTGTGCAGACTCATCATGGGCAACCTGCGCCGTCGAGCATCGCACAGACTTACCACCCTACCAGAGCACAGCCCTCGAACTCCGCAGCGCACCCTGAACCTCGGCGCACCCAAAAGGGTTTCGGGCTGAGGGCTGCCTTGGTCGCAGTTCCACGGCCACAGCGTCGAACCCTACACGCACAGCGAAGCCTGACACAGTTCGCCAAGAAGGGTTTAGGGTTTGGGGTTTAGGGTGCCGCTTAAACTCCAGCCATGGCGGAAGCTGGCATCACCTTCAGCTCGCGCCGGGCCCCGGCCTCCTGGTTTGTGGGTTTGTGGTGCGGGCTCTCCTTCGAGTCCCAAAAGACCTTCCGTTTTAGACTAGGAAGCTTGAACTCTAAACCCCGATAAGCCCGCCAACCCTCCCGAAGACGCAGGCCGTTGAAGCAGAAGCCCCCCACAGCCTACACCCCAGAATATTGCAACCCTAAATTTGGGACCCTTGAACCGACAAGGTTGCAGCCGTTGGGATCACCTATAGGTTTCCCTTCTGGAGCACACTGGTCCATGAAGTACCAGGCCTTAGCGTTTGGGAGCTAGGGCTAGGGCAAGCATCACGTCTCTTATTACAGGACCCCCTTGAGGAGTGAGGAGTGCAGCCCTTCAAGGGTAAGAGTTCAGATTCCCTACATTCCCTCAACCCTGCAAGCCCTAAAGACTCAGCTTAAGCAAGTCCCTAATATATATTAACATATAAATATGAATATATATGTATATATGTATATATGCGGCCCCTATCTGAGCTCAGGTTTATGGCAGCCGTGGCATGGTGGCCACCAGCCAGCCGCTGGCCAGCGAGGAGCCAGCCGGGGCGCAAGTTTTACGACTCACACACTTAACTACGATCCCGGTTAGGGTTTAGGGTTTAGGGTTTAGGGTTTAGGGTTTAGGGTTTAGGGTTTAGGGTTAGGGCCACTTAACTACGATCCCGGGCCTCGGGTTCAGGGATCCCTTTAGGCCCCAGAAATTTCAGGGTTTGAGGGTTTAGGGTGGGAGCCCTATGATGCAGGAGCCTAAATGATTTGTAACGTTGTTCCCAGATGCCTCCCTATGCCTAGACCCAACATGTCCGTTCTAGCTGAAGTAAATTATGAGCATGCGACAAGAGCTTTCCTTTTTTTGTGGGTGAGGTCGCCAAAGAGCCCCCTGAAGCGGGTTCCCTTTTTGTTCCTAGGTTGCTTCACAAAGGCTCTCAAGCCTGAAGCTTTGAAGCCCTGGAAGCCTGCAGTCAAGGGACTACTAAGACCCTGGCACTTTGAAACCCTTGAGCGATAAGGCGACGAAAACCCTCTTTTAGCAGCCCAAAGGCCCTAAGGCCTAAGGCCCTGAAACTCGATCCGTGGGTCTGGCAACCGGATGCATTTACTGTTGCAGGCCGGCATGCGGATCCTGCAAGCCGGGGGCACGGCTGCAGACGCTTGTGGCTTTGCCGCATGGTAGGGGGCTTTGAGGTTTTCAAGGTTTGGTGATAAGACTCAAAGGGACAATGCTAGTATGATGTAAAGATCCTAGAAAGATCTGGGGAGAGATAGAGAGAGAGAGAGAGAACACGAGATAATACAGAGAAAGAGGGCATGGGCCGTTGTGGAACGGGATGCCCCAGACCCCAGAGCCGCTGTTGAAACCACAACAATTTGAAAGTTCAAGTCATCTTCGCCACGGTCCGCGTGCCCAGGCGTCGCAGCTGCGGCTGCGCTAAACGTCACGGAGCCCTGCAACACGGGCATCGGACCGGGTTTGCAACCAAATTTTTGGCTGCGATGGCCGGCATGTTCTAGGGCCCCCCCCTAAGATTCAAAGCAGGCCTGATCCGTGTCAGGAGGCGACGCCTTCGCGCTGTACTACAATGCCGCGACGCAGCAGGTTTCGGGGTTCCCGCACTGCCGTATAAGCACCTCCTGTTTTCGTAAGAAGGGGCCGGGCGCCCCACCCGAACTCTATTCATGCCCATTTTCGTAGGAATTCTTACTGCTAAACCCCGTGACTTAAGAAAAGAAAGTGGGCTTTAGTTTCTTGAGGTATGCCATGGTAAACCCGGGAGAGCCTTCTCTTAAACCCGAAACCCTAAACCCGAAACCCGAAGCCCTGGCCCCAAACCCCCAAAAAGCCCAGAAAGGGTTTAGGGTTTAGGGTTTAGGGTTTAGGGTTTAGGGTTTAGGGTTTAGGGTTTAGGGTTTAGCTCGCTGAAGGTGGAATGCCTACAGGGCTGCGGCCGCTCTCCTGCCGCTTTGACCCTGGAGGCAGTGCGGAGGCACCCAGACATGGCAGGCCTGGGGATTCGGTTTAGGGTTTAGGGTTTAGGGTTTAGGGTTTGGGGTTTCGGGTTTAGGGTTTAGGGCTTCGGAGCCGTCCGTTGAGGGAATCGTACTCGCTTCGCTCCCAGGATGGCTGTGGAGCAGCCTTGGTGTTGAATCGCAGCCACTTCAACCTCGGAGCTTCCAGAAACTAAGGTTCCCCCCAAAAGGGTTTAGGGTTTAGGGATTCCAACACCTATAGTAGTGGTTTAGGGTTTAGGGTGTATAGGTTTAGGGTTCCATTTCTACGGTTCCCCCTTTCAAACCCCAACACCTATAGTTTATATGGGTTGGTGGTCTCTTTAAGTAGGGTCTTCTAAGGGTGACTAGGGGCTATATTATAATGTATAAGGGTAACAGATAAAGAGGCCACCGGCCTTTATCACCTATAGTAGTGGTTTAGGGTTTAGGGCGTATAGGTTTAGGGTTCAGGGTGTCCCCCAAAAAGCATGCTTCCGAAAAGCGATTCGTATTGTTTTGAAAGCCGGCCAGGGACAGAGGGCGTCTGGCCGTTACTTTCTCATTAATTCGGTGAGGTTCAGAAGCCCGTAGACGATTCGTCAAGGCCGCCAGAAAGGGTTCAGAGTTCAAAGCCCTGCTTCCTATAGCTACAGTTGTTAATCTGTGCGTAACTCTTAGATCCATTGTTGAGCCATGAGTAGTTCTTGCAAGCACCTGAACATCTTCTCGAGTATGGCCGCAGGAGGGCGCGCCGATCTGCCACCCCTCTCCGCACTTTGCGTTACGGCGCCTGGACTGAAGCGGGGCGCAAGGGAGCGGCGTGGTTTTCTTTGGTACGCGATGGCCTCATCGAACAAGTGTTTGGAAGCTTCATGGAACCCCGACCCCGACCATAGGCCTAAGCCCGTCCTGGGAGCATCGGACATCCCGAAAAAACCCTCCCTCCACATTGCTCGCGACTTCTGCCCATGGGCTGGCTCGAAATGAATTTAGTGTAGGAATAGAAGCCCTAAGCCCGAAACGAACCTGGTGTGAGCTCCGGAAGCCATTCCAGATGCAAGCTTCTGCACTCTGGTGCGCTCCCACTGAGAAATGGCACAGCTTCACCCTAGAAGCTTGAAGCTCCTGAAGCCCCGAAACCCTTAAAGGGCAAAATTCCTAAGACCCTGAACCCCCCCAAGCCCCTAAAACCCTAAACCCTAAAACCCTAAAACCCTAAAACCCTAAAACCCTGAAACCCTGAAACCCTGAAACCCTGAAACCCTGAAACCCTGAAACCCTGAAACCCTGAAACCCTGAAACCCTAGGTCCCAGGCGCCGCCGCAGCCTGGGAGAGTGCCGTGCAGCGCTGGGGGAAGCTGAGCCTCAGGACGGGCCTCGGGGTTTCGAGGGGAGGGTTTAGGGTTTAGGGTTTAGGGTTTAGGGTTTAGGGTTTAGGGTTTAGGGTTTGAGGAATTCGGGTATGAGGGTGCCTTCGAGCCTCAGCACCCGGCAGTCTGCATTTGTTCTGGATGCAAAGAGCGGTTGAGGTTTACGCTTTGAGGGTGTAGGGGTTTGGGGCTTGTAAGGGTTTAAGGGTTTTTGGGGCTTGAGGAGGGTTGCGGGGTTTAAGGCATGAATGCAAAGCGGGTTTTGGCGAGTGTTTGGGGCTTCGAGGCTTTGGTGGCTTGTGCGACTGGGGATGTGGGGTTAGGGCTTTAGGGAGGGGGAGAGGGAGGGAGGGAGGGAGAGAGAGAGAGAGAGAGTGGGAGCGAGAGACAGACAGACGGACAGACAGACAGACAGACAGACAGAGAGAGAGCGAGGGGCGTCTGCACCCCTCAAGCCCAGCAGATGAAGAAGAAGAAGAAGAAGAAGAAGAAGAAGAAGAAGAAGAAGAAGAAGAAGCAGAAGAAGAAGAAGAAGAAGACGAAGAAAAAGAAGAAGAAGAAGCAGAAGAAGAATAATAATAAGAAGAAGAACAAGAAGAGGAAGAAGAAGAAGAAGGAGAATCAGAAGAGTGAGAGGGAGGGAGTGTGTTAAAAGTTTTGGGGGGGTGGGGCTTGTCCGTCCTCAACGGGGTTGAGGGTTCCAGGGTTTGGCCGGCTGGAAAAGGGTCAGGGGGTTGAATTTGCGAACTTGTTTGGGGTCGGGGTTCGAGGGTTCAAGGGTCGGGACTGGCATGCCTGTGCCACAAAAGGTGGGTGCAAAAGTCCTGTGTCAGAAGGGATTGGGGCGATGAGAGTTTAGGGAGCCGGGCGGTTCTAGGACAGTCGGTTTAGGCGCCGAGCTGGGTTCATGATGTGTTCTAGGCTCTCCTGAACTCAAAGAATCTGGAAGAACTGAGACTCACGGGTGAGCGAAGTATATGGCAGCCTTGGATTTGTAGGCTCTAATACCTTAATTTTGCCCTTGATCCTTATTTAATTTTCTTTTTGGCCCCTGGGATAGTCTTTTGGGGGTCCCTCGGCTCTGGGTCGTGGGGTTTCAAGCCGCCAGGCAGGTGCTCGCTCCTGCAATCGAGCTGGCCACCGATGGTGCCTCATCTCAGGGCCACCCTTACAGGGGGGGGGTGCAGGCGTTTTTTTCATCTTCATAGGGTTCGGGATTCTCCTTCGTGCCACCATTCAGGTGAGCTGCGGTTTGAGCTGCCACTGTTTGTCCCAACATTCCGTTGCATCTGCGCCTCAGTGCTGGTTCTTGCATCACAATGGCCCTTCGGATGCATGAGATTCGCAGATTCTCGCTTCGGGTTGATTGCTTGAGCCGTGGAATCGGGTTTTGGTTTCGAACTGCCAGCACGGGGGCGACCAATGAAGGGAGCAGGCTGATTTGCGACAACTACTGCCTTGCTGCAGAAAGTCGCCGGATGTCGCGGTTGTCAGTAATTATTGCTTTGCTGCAGAAAGTCGCCGGCAAGCTGGAAAAGCAGAAGCTCTTTGAAGCAAGGATTTCCGGTGGCGCCGTTGGCAGCTTACCTGTGGCACGACAGCGAGGCCTGCAGGTTCGGGGAGACCTCTAAGGGGTTGCGGGTCCAGGTTTGTAGGCGGCTTTTGCAGCCCTAAAGGCTAGAAGCCCTAAACCCTAAGCCCTAAATCCTAAACCAACCCACCGCAAAAGTCGTACCATTCCCGGCTGCTCTCAAGACCTCTGGCATGAGTTTTAGGGTTTAGGGTTTGCTGCCCCTGGCCTCAGTTCCAGTCTTAAAAAGGGTTTAGGGTTTAGGGTTTAGGTTCATTGCCAGCTCAACACATGTGCCACCTTCGAGGACGTCCTGAAGCATGCAGCGCGCGGGAAAGCCACGCCATTCCTGCCTGCAGGTGCTATGTTTTGGGGCAGGGAGGGGGGGGGGGTGGTGGACGGAACTCCGGTCGTGGCATCTTCTCAGTTCGGGTAGTTTTTTGCTGGGATGAGGGCAACAAGGGATTCGGGGTTACCGTGCTTTGGAGGCTTGTCAAGCACAGCTTGACACCTGTAGTTCTTAATGAGGCTTTGAGAACATCGGCATTGGACCTTGGGGGAAATGCAGCGGAGCATCGGGCACAAACGCAATCCCATACGAAGCTCTCGCCTGATCCGTGCAGCCCCGAAACCTGAAGCCGAAACCTAAATCCTCAATCTTTAGTCAAGCCATTGGCAAAGCTCCAGACATGCGAAAGCTCGCACAGTGCCGAAAGGCAAGAAGCGCTTGCTGGCTAAACTTACGGTACCGGGCCCCTTTGAACTTGTAAAGATTTGCCCTTTGAACTTTTAAAGATTTTGAACCCCGAAGCTCCTCGAAAGATCTGCCCGAGGCAAGGCCCCTGTTGCGGGGGAGATGTTCAGGTGGCTTGTCCCTGATGCCTGCTGCAGGTACATGGGAGGAGTCCGAAATTTTAAAATTAGGGTACCTTGGGGTCCCGTGAATGAGTCAGTCGACAAATTCTGAAATGCCAACAGGCTTGTGGGAGGCCATGATTTCCCGTGGGCTACCGCGGTGCAGTGTGCAGGCTTGCTCCCTGAACCCAAGAACACCTGAACCCTAAACCTTATAACCTTATAACCTTATAACCTTATAACCTTATAACCTTATAACCTTATAGGCCATCCAAGGGATCATCAAGTATAAGATTTCTTGCCCGATCGGCAAGGCCTGTTCTGCAGGGGCTGCCCGAGCTTCGACACTGGCTCAAGCTTTGATGCAGCGCTGTTGTCGAGGTTGCATTAGACATTAGAGCTATTTTACAGGTACAAAGAAGTCATTTTAAAGGCAGGTGGGGACTTTTCAAGAGCCCGAGCCCCACAAAACTGGTCCACTCCGTCGGAACCGTTGCGGAAGCCATGGCCGCGCCACCCCCTCCGCCGGCCCCGGCTGATGGGCAAAGCGCCATCTCTTCGCCGCTGAAGTCCAAGAGCAGCAGCGAATGTGTGAAGGTGGTGGTCCGGGTTCGGCCACTGAGCAGCAAGGAGATCTCCGAAGGGAGAGAGGTCATCGTCACGATGGACACGAAGCGCGGCGTTGCCATCCTCCATCGTCCAGGCGGGACCGACCGCGACGCCAAGGATTTCACCTTCGACGCCGTCTTTGGGGCTGACATGACGCAGCAGCAGATCTTTGATGACACTGCGGCGGACATCCTGGACAGCGTGATGGATGGCTTCAACGGCACCATCTTTGCGTATGGCCAGACGGGGGCCGGCAAGTCCCACACCATGAGCGGCCCGCAGGACGGGCCACCGGAGCTCCAAGGCTTGCTGCCACGATCATTCTCGCACATCTTCAACAACATCGACACGACTTCCCAGGATACCACGTACTTGGTGAGAGGCTCCTACCTCGAGATCTACAATGAGGAGATCCGGGACCTGCTGTCGAAGAACCCGAAAGGCAGGTGTGAGCTCAAAGACAACCCGCAAGGTGGCGTGTACGTGAAGGACCTCTCCGCATTTGTGGTGAAGTCCACGGAGGAGATGCACCAGATCCTGCAGACGGGGCTCGCCAATCGCGCTGTGAGTGCGACGCAGATGAACGAGACATCCTCTCGCTCACACTCCATCTTCATGATCACGGTGGAGCAGTGCGCGATGGGCATGGATGGTGAGGGTCACATCCGCGTTGGGAAGCTCAACATGGTGGACCTGGCAGGCTCCGAGCGGCAGAGCAAGACGGGTGCCACAGGGGAGCGCCTGAAAGAAGCAACCAAGATCAATCTGTCGCTCTCCGCACTCGGGAACGTCATCTCAGCCTTGGTAGATGGGAAGTCCTCCCACATCCCCTACCGCGATTCCAAGCTAACCCGGCTCCTGCAGGACTCCCTAGGGGGCAACACCAAGACGGTGATGGTGGCAAATATTGGGCCGGCAGACTACAACTACGATGAGACAATGTCGACGTTGAGGTATGCCTACCGTGCCAAGAGCATCAAGAACAAGCCCCGGATCAACGAGGATCCCAAGGATGCCATGATCCGGGAGTACCAGGAGGAGATCATGCGCCTCAAGGCGGAATTGGAGGCAGCCGGTGGTGTGGACGGCGAAGCAGGGGACATCGCAATGGTGCCCCTCCCGCCACGGGTGGAGAAGCAGGTGGAGTATGTGGACAAGATCGTCGAGAAGATCGTGGAGCGAGAGGTGGTCGTGGAGCAGGGGCCCAGCCCGGAGGAGGTGGCCGCAATGGAGGCGCAGCTTCGGCAGCAGAACGAGGAGGCCCGGCTCAAGGCGGAGGCGAAGCGCCGGGAGGTGGAGGCGCAGCGGGACCTGGCGGAGTCCGAGAGGTTGCGCCTCCTGGCGCAGATCGACGAGCAGGAGCATGCCGCGATGCAGGAGGAGCAGCGGAAGGCCGATCTGCAGTCGAAGCTTCAGCACATGGAACATAAGATGGTCCAAGGCAAGCAGATCATGGAGCAAGCTATCCAGCAGGAGCATGAGCTGAAGAAGCACGAGAGGCGCCTCCGAAAGCAGCAGGAGCGTGAGGCAGAGCTCCGACAGCAGGAGGAGCAGCAGAGGCAAGAGAACCTCTTGCTCGAGGAGCGATGTGCCTCGCAAGAGGAGCAGGTTGTGAAGCTTACGACGAAGCTGCAAAAGCTGTGGGACAAGTACCAGAAAGCGCAGCAGGAGATGGTTGACGTGCAGCACTTCAACCAGCAGGAGCGTAGAATTGCATGCGTCCTTCGAGCGGATTGTGCTGCCACTTCATTTGGGACATAGAACGGCAAACAAAAGAGGGGGAACCATTAACCATTTTCGAGATGTCAGGCCTAATCTTCTTACATAATGGCGACAGAAGGACAAACACTGGCATGCACAACACATCTACCGGCAGTTATGTTGAGAATACAATGACCAACCAGGAGATTGAAAGCCATAACTCCTAAACCCCAACACGCAGGAGCGTGAGGACATGCTCTCCATGATCCGCGACCTGCGGCAGACGCTGAAGCTCAAGGCCCTCATTATGGAGTCCTTCGTCCCAATGGCAGAGATCCAAAATACCCAGGAGCGAGCTGTTTGGGATGCAGAGGAGGACGAGTGGAGGATCCTTGGGTCAAATTTCGGGATGGTTGGTTTAGGGTTTTGGGTTTTGGGTTTTGGGTTTAGGGCCCCTCAACTAAACCCTGAGTAGAGAACCTTTAACCTATATAGAATCCTACCAAAATTAAAAGGTTGACCTTTTTGTTGGGTCAGGGTACTTCGCAACTAGGTCTGTTTGAAAACTGGACCAGCCGAGGATTCAGCCCGTGACCCTGGACAAGGAGAATCGCCCTAAGAGGCCGAACTCCTTCTTGGGTCTCCCCAGGCCGACCACCGAGTCTAGGTCTGGGACCTTGAAGGACATTTTTCTACCATCGTCCCTCTGTAGGGGATAAACCCTAAACCCTAAACCCTAAACCCTAAACCCCAAACCGGGTTCAGGTTTGAAGGCGGATCTTATTTGGAGCCTGGGCACGGGTTAGGGTTTGGGGTTCCGGGCTCCGGCACCTCAAGAGAGCCCCCAGGTTCAAGAAGGGTTTTGGGCTGTAGGGTTTAGGGTTTAGGATTTAGGGTTTAGGATTTAGGGTTTGGGGTTTAGGGTTTAGGGTGTAGGGTGGGAACTTGTTCAGAGGATCTGCAATGCCCAGCCAAGGAGTTTGCGCGGCTGAATCGGACCATGGGGGACTCCAACCCCAGGCCCGGGATGGGGCTTCGGAGAGTGGGGTTGTCAGTACCCGAGGCGGTTATCTGGCTGTAGTTACCATACCTATATGACCCTACTTTAAACTACCAATGAACCTACTTATAAATACCGCCCATGAACCTCCAGGGGGGGCGGGGGAAGTGGGCACTCTAAATTAGCAGAAGGGCCCCTGTGATAGGGCCCCTAAACCAGAAAACCCTCGAACTCTCATACCCGAATACCAGTACCCTTCATACCCTCACACCCTCATGCCCGATTACCCTGATACCCTAGTACCCATACACCCTAGTTGCGAGTACATCTTAGTACCCTAGTACTCTAGTACCCTAATACCCTGATACCCTCATACCCTCATACCCTCACACCCTGGTACCCGAGTACCCCAAACCCTGCAATCCTGCAGGTACATGTTCGACAACATCGTCTTCACGGACCTGGACTTGCCCGAGCGCACCACGGAGGACTCCAGGGCTTCGGGTTTAGGGTTTCGGGTTTAGGGGCAAGTATTCTGTCCTGGGTTGAAAAAGGGCAAGTATTCCGGCTGATTGGCTCCCGCAGTCCAGATGCAAAAAAAAGGGTCTCATAGGCCTGGATGCAAAAAGGGTTAAGGGGTGGCTACGGCTCAAGATTGGCTCACACAAAGTGCGACGGCGCCCCTCCCAGCCGGTGAAACCCTGCGGAGATGTCTGACTTCAAGTTGGCAGTCGAAAACAACAAGGCCACGGAGCTGCCCACTGCTCCGGGTCTGCGGAACGGTGCAGCAGAATCCGCATATGCGTGCTTTCTGGGCATCGACAATCTCTTTCTTCCTCGGACCGGCTGTGAAATCCGTCGAAGGCGAGTCCACAGCTGTGTAGTGCACGCAGGTGATCCAATTAGTTATTTATTTAGTACCGTGGAGCTGGACGAAGTCTGCTCCCTTGTAGAGTCGAAGCTTGCACGTTCAAGCGAAGTTTGAGACGTGCAATTGGCATCCAAGTCCCCCTAGCCCCAGCATGGAGTGCAGGACAGGGGCCTTCCTTGTTCAGACAGGCGGAGTACGCACGTGCCAAACCCGCATCTCTGCTCTATACAGCAGTTGGTCAGTCAGGACAGTCGACAGCGCTGGCCGAAAAAAGGCGGCTGAGGGGTTCAGGGTTTAGGGTTTCGGGTTTAGGGATCTGCACAGAGTCTGGGTTCAAGAAGCTTAGGGCTGGCGGTTTGGAAGCCACTGGCTCATGCCGAAAGGGCCCTGAGCGAGTTGTGGGCTTCCTTTCCAAGCATTGACTTCCGAACTGCAGCCCAAGGGTCCCTATTAATAACCCTACAATCAACCCCAACAACTAGCCCTACTAACCCTGCCAATAATCCTACTAACTAACACTACAATCAACCCTAATAACCCTAGTAGTATAATAACCCTACAATCAGCCCTACTAATTAACCCTGAAAGCGTACATTGGTATTGGCGGAGGACTACGAAGTGCAGCCGGAGCTGGGCGACCGCATCGAGCGGGCGCTCACGCTGGCCCTTTCGCAGGACGACGATGAGGCCATTAAGACGAAAGGAGGGACATCTATCTATATTTATATTTATATGTATATATATATATATTATACTATGCTTCGGACGTACGGGGGCCTAATGAAGATGCCAAGAAGTTCTTGCGAAGACATGGTGTCATCGGAATGGGCTGCGTTGGGGGCGTTAAGACAGAAGGTTTACATGGTTGTCTCGATAGAGTAGTAGGATATAAAGGGCTGCTTGCTAGGAGTCTCCTCCCACATGTAACCCTAAACCCTAAACCCTAAACCCTGAATCCTAAACCCTAAACCCCTTGAGGTCAAAGAGGCGAAAGGGGCCGAGATGCCTGAGAAGGGCCAGAAGAAGATGAGGCCAGCCAGTGGGATCAAGCGTGATGGCGCACCCCCGTCGGCTTTCCCCCAAGCACGGGGGTTGGTGTCCCGCGAGTGAGTCGTCTCGGACTTGCTCTGGTTGAGAATTTGGCCTGCTTTTTTTCCCCTGCATCGGCCCGGCAGACCAACATGTCCCGTGCAGCCTGACATGTGGGGATTTCTGAAAATAAGGGCACCCTTTTTGTTTTTTGTTTTTGGGGTAGATTGTACGGTATTCAATTTTCTACAGGGAACAAAGGGTGACCCTAATTTTGGGAAACTCACACGTGGGCCTTCTCCGGGAAGTCCTTGTTCAGAAGGCGGCTACGCTTCTTTCCCGGAGTGTCACATGCAGCGTCTCACCCATTTCGTCATGGCTGTTGTGGTTACTCGACGAGCTTATTTCGCACTGTTCAGCAATTTCGGTTTGGGGTAGCCGAGTGACTAGTGGTGTTCTCTGCCCAGCCAAGCTTCTGCGCTGGCCCAGCATCTAGCACAAGAGAGCTCTGATTCCACAGGCTATAGCCGTGTACAGGAATTCCGCCTTGGCACGCATCAAAAAAAGCGATCTTGCGATCTTCGGAACTTATGACAGTTTCCTCAAGCATATCCAGAAGTGAAAGGAGCATCCTCCTAAACCAGTCCAAACCCCAAAATCAATCTTAGCTAATGGCCGGGCTCGGGGCGTTCCGAGGAATCCGGACCTTGCCGCAACCTTCCGGCTTCTGGGCGTGCCTGGCAGGCATTAGGGGCCAGGCGCAACACAAAGTGAGAATCAACTCTATACATCTGGGGCTGGAGGGCCAGCAGAAAGTGAGTGAGAATCGACTCTAAACTCTAATCCTGCCCCACATCAGGCGGCGCCCTCGCCTTGCACTTAAGATAAGATGGTCAGGGGTGTGCAAGCCGTGAGAGTGGTCCTTCACGGCGCAGCAGCGCCTAGTGTCACAAGCATGCGGCTGACTCCCTTTGTCATTCTCTGCCACGTTGCAGATGTTGTCTGTGCTATGAAGCGCGACTCGACGCTGTAGCTGCGTGGTATATTTCGTAGGCCTTTAAGTTCAGATTAATATCTTGTGAACTCCAGCGTTCATCGGCCAGTCTTGCGACTTTTCAAGCTCCCGCGCTGATGTTTCTCGCGACTGGTGCTCGGACCTGCTTTCCCCCAGAGGGACGACACACAATTTGAAAGCACTAACCAGACAGTTCCTGATCTGCGGATGCCAGAGACATCCCGATGGTTTTTTCGCGTTCATGGCCCGAGCCCCCCACACTTGTCTGAAAGTATGCCCCCGACGCCTCAAAGCCTGGTGGCCTTGTGGACATAGTGCGGCTAGGCAATGGGGATTTTTTTTGGGGGGGGAGGGGGTGGTTTTTGTGGTTCGATCGAAGTTATGACTCCTGTCCCTGCAGCCCGGACACAAACTGCTTTGTTTTATCAGTGCTTCAAGTACAGTACATCATGTTTCCCGGAATTTTGCCCTGCAGAGTGGCCTGTTTGCATAGTGGGTGGCAGAAAGCCTTGGGCCTTCTAAACCCCAAATCCTAAACCTTCTAGCCCGAACAGCCCTATAAACCCTGTACAAATCACTCTCATGCCTCCGGCACGAGCTTGATAGTCATCTGCCCAGCGCTTCAGACTCAGACTGAGCGCATCCGAAACCCGCAGAAGCTGTGGGGCCAGAGTGGGGTTTAGGGCTCAATGGATTCAGGACTCAGGAACCCTTTATCTCTGCAGCACAAGGAACGAACCTTCAGGGTTAGGATTGTAATTACTTCGGGTTTCGGGGCGTGGGCTTCAGGCCCAGCTAGGTTGCCCCCTCCAAAATCCCCAGGACCAGGGTGCCGCAGAGGGCTTCTACCGTGGCCCCGTGGCCGAGCGCATCGTGGAGGCGCTTGCGGAAAGAGGTGGCGGCGGGTGCTTGGAGGTTTGGGATGGTAAAGGCCACGAGAAGTGCGCAAAGAACTCAATAGCCAGGAAACCGGTTCGCTTGATAGGGACGTAAGGATCAACATGAAAGAATGGAAAGATAAGCCTACGCCAAATCGTCTAAATATACAAGTACATGAACATACAGAACGCACCAATATAGATATATAAGCAGCAGTCCACAGATTATGCATCTGTTTCTCAATACAGCATCGATTTCAAGGGCGTCAGTGGCATACGACTTTTTTTTTGCATTGCTGTACTATTGAATTACAGGTAGTCGGTGGAGTGCTAGCTTGATCCGGTTGTCGTTTTGGGTTGACCGGTCCCTACATCAGTTTAGCAGTTTAAGTGCCGACTTGAAGTGCAGAACTCGAAATCCCCCAAGACTTCGACATGGACCGACTCCGAGATCAAAGACGTGTGTATACATACATACACACATAAATATATAGAGTTCAACTTTAAAGATAATATTTGATCCATATGTAGTTTGTGTATGTGTATGCATGTATGCATGCATGTCTGTACACGTATACGTACGCATGTATGTACATACATGCATATACTGATCGATGTCCGGAGACAAGGTACAGTGTACAGGATCCCGAATTCTCAACCGCTAAGATACCCCCCCAAACCTCTTCCCAGGTGGTGTCATGGCGGCTGCCGACCTGGCAGCTCATGAGACGGCGTTCGTGGAGCAGCTGGGAAGGTTTATGGCTTGGTTGACAGGGTTTATTCTCAAGGACCCGAGACACCTGGCACACATGCTAAGCATGTGCGTAGGCACTTTTTGTACGCAAGTCGTCGTGGCCGCAGCTCGCAGTCGAAGCGCCTACACAGCATCGAGTCCTGAGGTTTTATTGTGAGGCATGCAGGTAATCGTGCCCGAGGCCACAAAAACCCGAATCCCAGGCCCATCTCGACCAGCTTTCGTGGGAAAGTAAGGCCACTTGGCTGCTCGATCTTGAAGGTTCCATGGCCTTAGGGATCCAGAACAGGGCCCGAACCTTACCTTAATAACCCAAGACCTCCCTTTGTTTGGTAGGCAACCTACATTTCAATTGGGTGCTTTTCGGGTACTTCAGTGTTGCTCCTGGGGTTTGGGTTTTGCTTGGACAGGTCTTTTCTATCCGCTCCTAAGCCAGAAATATGTTGTGGTCCTAAACCCCGTAAAGCCCAGACGCCCTGAGCCGGCTCCTAAACCCTGAACCCTAAACCCCAAGCAGGGCACTTGAGCTACGTGCGTGGCCGTTTTGGCAAGCACGCGATACGCGAGGGTAGCGGGGGGACACCAACCTCAGCCTTAGAGCCAGACACCCAAATACTGGGGTCGAAAGAATTACGAATTCCCTTATAGTCCGTTCAAATTCTACCCCAAATCGTGGCAGATCGTATTAGCAGAAGAAATCGTGCTAGGAACTGTGAAAGAAGTGGTATTCTTAATGTTCGTAGTGGTACTGGCATTGGTTGATGTTAGTGTTGGTAGTGGTGCCGCCCTTAAGTCGTGTGGCGAAGAGCGCTTATGAGGCTCTGGGAGTGTCCGCCTCCCACGCAAGGGGTCACGGCTGCTTCTTTGCGCTTGAGCTTGGGGTTTGGGGTTTGGGTTTGGGGTTTAGGGTTTAGGGTTTAGGGTTTAGGGTTTAGGGTTTGGAGCTTCCGCAAGATCCAGGGTGCAGCCTCCGGATGGTTGAGAACCTTTCGGCATCTTTCAGCGCTAAGCCCCGAAACCCTAAGCTGGGAGTTGAGATTTCGCAAGCGACCTCCGAACCCTCACAGGACCCGGGGAGTTTCGTCCCAAATCCTAAACCCTACCTCAAGAAATCCCAAAGCCCAATATTGTTGTAGATTCTGCTTGCAAACCCACTAATAGGGTTCGCATAGGTAGCCTGAAAAAAAAACAAACAGGCGGGTCGTAGGCCTGATAAGAAGTAAGCCTTGACTCTGAGAAGGACATGAGGCACCCCTAAATCCTAAACCCTAAACCCTAAATTCCAGGCCCTGATGGCCCTGTCCCTTCTGGAACAGCGCGGCGCGCCGGCCGCGCGGCTCTCGGCCGCCGCGCTGCATGCCCAGGCGGAGGCCCGCGCTGGCGCTTTCTCTCCTTGCTTGGACTGGAGGGGTTGGGGGTATAGGGGATTTAGGGTTGGTTTAGGGTTTGGGGCCAGGGTTTAGGGTTTAGGTTTGTTGGGGTTTAGGTTGTTTGGGGTTTCGGGTGTGGGGTTTTAGGGCTTGCTGTGATATACCACAACAGCTGTGAAGGTTGGGATGCAGTGTAGCTTCGCAAGCTTCGTAGCATGCGAAAAGGCAGCAATGGCCCGGTTTGTGCAGGACCAACTTAGGCCTAAGCTCACTAGCTTCCAACATCCTCAGCCTGGAAAAGGGCCCTATGAGCCTTCAACACCCCAATCATCAAAGGGTTTGCAGTTTACGTTCGAGTCTTGGAGTCTTGGGTTTCAGACTTCAAAGCCCACGACCACGAAAGAATATGCCCTAAGCTCACTCGTTCTTGGTTGGGAAGTAGGGCTCCCAAAGGGACATGACTATTCTCATGATAGCTTATGATCATGAGTATGAGTAGTAGGGGATAAGGCCTGAGAGTCTAAAGCGCCAGAAAGCCAAGCGCGAATATGAGCCCAGGCACTCCGCTTTGCGTTTGCCGATGCCTTGCGCAGGGCTTAGTGCGCAGGGTTCACGTGCACTCATAGCCTCAACCCTAAACGGCCCTAAGCCCAAGTCGCTCCCTTGATGCTCCCTTGATGCAACAGAAAGCCTAGCTCTTGCAGAAGTCACTGTCACAGTTCTTTGCGAGCCGAGGGGATCTATGCGTGACATACATGAAGGTGCATGACCCTAAGCAGTGTTTGCCCTGCGGACCTCGAGGCCTTCAAGCCTCTCTCCCCCTGAGGCAGTTCTGTGCCGACCCCTCGGCCGGTGGTGGTGCCTCTTTCGAGCGGCTGCTGAGCAAGGCTGGGGGTTCAGGGTTCTTGACACCCTGACCTCTGTCAAAGGGAGGAAGGAGATGCGGTTTTCTTGGCATTCGGTGAGAGGGTTTATAGGGTTGGGTTACAGAGCTTTGTATACACAACCTTCTTCGATCTTCCTCATGGTCTGAACCTTCCCGATTCTAAAGCTCGCTGTTGAAGCGCAGGTCCGTGCCGAGAATCGATGGGCCCAGTTGCAGCTGGGCTGGTGAAAGTATTCGGGTGGTCAGAAATTCAGCACGCACGACTTCTGTGCTCGAGTGGTGGATGTGGAGTTGAGAACTGAGGATGAACAGTTTGCGGCTCAAGGTTGGGCTTTGAGTCGTGAGGGCTTCAGACAGTTGCCTGCATTGTAGCTTTTGCGCGCTGTGCTAGGCCCGATGCCCAAAGAGCTCAACTCCCAAGCTGTCCTAAAACCCTACAGCTTCCCCTATACCCCGTATACTTCAAGCCCGTCAACCCCATCACAATCTCCACCCCACTTTTCCAAGCCTCTGAAGCCCTACACCGGGCGCAGAGAGTGGGGCCCCGTGCCGAGCCGCAGAGGTTTGATCCCAGCAAGCGGGCTAGCAAGGCGCGAGGGCTGCTCTCGGGGTTGCAGCTTTCTGTTGGAGGACTTTGGGCCTGGAACCATGTCGCGTGCCGCAACCGCCCCAAAGACTCTAAAGGCCTCAACAGCTAGACTACACACCCTCTTAAAGCGTTCTCAGGCAACCTACGACTAACTAGGTTTGGGTGATTGGAAGTAGGCTCGTTCTCGCTTCTCAAGGTGCCGTTCGACGCCGAGGCGTTTGCGCCGAAGAGGAGCGGCTATGACACGGCCATCTGCCTGCAGCAACACACGGGGGTTTAGTAACTGGTTTGAGGATGAGAGTTTGGGGTTCAGGGCTTAAGGTTTCAAATATAAGAGGTTTGGGGTAGGGAAAAAGCAGTCCTGGGCAAAAAAGACGGGGTCTTTGGCCCTCCACATGTCAAGGTCTACTTGGCAGCGGCCGACCGCTGGGGCAACGCATGCGGCTTGTCGCCAATGAGCTCCTTAACGGGTTACAATTGTCAGGGTTTGAGGCTTATAAAGCCTGAACTACTGAACTACTATTTGCTGAAGAAATGCACCAAAAGAAAAAATCTCCTCCTTATTAGGGCAATCGGGATAACATTCTCTCACTTTTTAGGTTGGGTTCTGAAACAAATGGAAGTGATGTTTATAGGACCAGAAACCCCTGAGCCAGCAGACGAATCCCTGTGGGGGGGGCGCTTTCCGAAAATGAGGGTTCAGGGCCCCTTTGTTAAAGGTGCTTCGAACTGACAAGTAGAGTATCTGCTTGATCAAGATTTTTGTTGTCTGGTACATCATCAACATTACATTGGGGGGCGGGGGGCTCTATTACTTGTTTATTTTTTACAAAGGGGGATCGTGGTAGAGCTCCAAGGTGGAAAGCAGATCACCGATTCCTAGGATCCCCCAAAAGAGGCTCCCTCTTGCTGGCGTTCCGGCTGTAATGCGGAGCTTTATATGGCAGGGTATCCCCCTTAAAAGGGACCATAATGTAGAGAAGTGCCCTTCGAATATGTATGTAATCCGTGTGAAAAAGATGTTAGAGGGAAGAGTCCGGGGTGTGCGGGCTGGTTTTAGATCAAGGGTCCAGAAAACCACTGCAAAGCTTCCGCAGTGGAGCCCCTGAAATTCACAACCAGCTTTTGCAAAGCTCGCAAGGAAGTGTATATACCAGCATCCGCACCCACTTATGCCGCTTATGCCAGTGTGAGGGTTGAAGCCCTAAGCCCTATAAACCCTAAACCCTAAACCTAAACCCTAAACCCTAAACCCTAAGCCCTAAACCCTAAACCCTAAACCCTAAACCCTAAGCCCTCGCAAGCGAAAGGCTCTTTCATCAACTCCAACTACCAGGGCTTCGGCTCTTGCATCGTGCCCGTGACTCGCTTGACCACGGGGCCAATGCATCAAGTTTACTGAAAATTGGGGTCCCTAAGAAACCCTTTGAAATTATGTGAGGGACCCTACTAAGAAATACAAAACCCTAAGCCAAAAGCCCACGCTGTAAGCCGGACCGTTTGTACCCCTCCAGCGTGGTGTCAGGCAGCTAGGCGGGCGACAAAACCCTAAGAACGTGGAGGGTTCAGGATGAGGAGGTCGGGTGGGTAAGGCTCTTCTTGAAGACGCTGCTGATGCATTTCATCTAGCTCAAAGGGCTCTGTGACTGCTCTCTTTCGATCACAAAGTGAGCCGTGTCATGCTTGGAGGTGTAGTTCGGAGAGAGAGATAGTGGCCGTTTCCCCCGGTAGCAGTTCAACAGGCGTTGGCATCCTGTTTTGCCGAATGCCTCCACCTGCAGGCTCCCAAACCTTGAAACTCCACAACCGTTCCAGCACTACTTGGATTTTCATAGGTACTTCTTCGTAAGGGTTTAAAGCATGGTAACTATAGTAACTATAGTACCCATGAACCTCCAAGTAGGCCCTAAATTAAGCCCTACGTGCTGTGAACCTCCAGAGAAGCCATGAACGCTAGGACCCCGAGCTCCCCCCAAACCCATAAACCCTAAACCTTGAACCCTGAACCCTGTAGACCCTATACACCCTAAATCCTATAAACCCTAAACTCGCTAAACACTAAACCCTAAATCCTACAGACCCTAAACCCCACAAACCCTAAATCCTAAAGACCCTTAACCCTAGAAGCCCCGAACCCCAAGGAGGGCTGTGGCTTCACCCTGCAGAACCGCGCTTTGGTCCCGATCAGGGGGGTTGAATAGGGTTTAGGGTTTAGGGTGTAGGGTTTAGGGTTTAGGGTTTAGGGTCCTACCACCCCCCATACTTTGAAACAGTCTCCCTGTAGACCCGTTACGTTATATGTTAAGTACGGTCAGAATCTGTGGCCCCACTTGTTCCTCGTTAAGCCACTACGGGTGTCGGGTTCAGAGTTGAGGCTTGGTTGGGGTGTGCCTTACGCAGATCGGCTCGCTTTTGCTTTGGCCGGCACAGGATGGTTGGTGTGAGCGATGTAAGTTTGGTGGTTGTGGGATGCATGGACGGAAAGAAGTGGGGGCCCACCACAGCCCTCTGCTCAGAACCTCCCAAGCTGCTCCCAAGACGGAACTCGAACCCTAAACGCTACACCCTAAACCCTAAGCGAACTGCATGCGGGCGGCAAAAACACCCTAAACCCTAAACCCTAAACCCTAAACCCTAAACCCTAAACCCTACACCCAGCAAGAGCCTGCGCCGAAGGAGGGCAGAACTTCATCGTCCGGGAGGGCCACCCCAATTGCGTCGGGCCGCGTGCCTTGGCCAAGAAGGCAGTTTGAGACCTCTGGAGGTTCGACTCTCCGGCTTTTCTACCATCTGCTCAAGAACTCTACTATTTGCTTAAGAACCCCCCAAAAACTCAAAGATAAGCATCCCTGTTGCACCCTTCTAAGGAAGATGATGCTCATTTGTTGGGGGGGGGGGGGGTTCTTAAGCGAATAGTAGTCTTGCTTGGGATGTGACCCTTCTGAAACTCCTGGTTTTCTACGAGGTCTTGCCGGCTTAACTACTGACTACTGGTACTTCGTAAGGATTGAGGGAATCCCGCAATCCTGTGCCCCAGAGGATCCCTTGAAGGGTCATTGTGTCGTTGCCTAGTTCCCGAATCCTTATCGAGAGCCGGAAATGTTGTTGGGTGTGTCGTGTCTCGCAGAGATCCTCCAGGGCGACATGTCAGCATTGGTCTGTGGACTAGATGTCTTACCAGCCCTGAATCGGGAATCAGGGAATTAGGTACCTTAGATACCTTATATCTCCCTGTAAAACCTCTTTTCGGGATTTACCAAATTCGCTGTTACTACGATGTTTGCTACATTCAGTCAGACTTGGCGAACTAGCTCGCTCGTCAGAGCGGTGCTTGGGAGCTAGCTAGTCAGTGAGCAGTTTGCTTGCAGGTCCAGGCTGCGTACTGTCCCAGGCGAGTTCACACTGCTGCATCATATATGTCCTCCCAAACCACCTGCCCTGGCCGATCTCGAGGATGCTTCCGCAGCCCTGTGGGCGCCAAGCGGGCTCATTCCTTTAAGCAAAAGCGAACCCCTAAGCCCCCAAACCCCCAAATCTCCAGCCGCCTAATAAATCCTAAACCCTAAACCCGCATGAGCCAGTGAAGCCTCGATTGCGAGAGCGAGGGTAGTGCGTGTGGCAAGAGAGCCCTAAACCCCTAAACCCCCCTAAACCCCTAAACCCCCCTAAACCCCCCTAAACCCCCCTAAACCCCCCTAAACCCCTAAACCCCTAAGCCCCCCCTAAGCCCCTAAGGCAAGTTCTGCTACCACACCATTATCCCCGGCCTCGTCACCTGGGAGCCTTCGGGCCAGCTCTTTGGCACGCTGGGCGTCATGGGAGGCCGGGGCATTCGTGACCACACATACATACATACATACATACATACATACATACATACATGCGTACATACATACATACACATGTAAATTACATGAAATCAGTGTGTATATATATATATATAGAGTATATGTATATATGTAAACAGCATACATGTAGACCTTTAGTTGCCTTATTGTTTAGCTACTGATTTACATGGTTCTTGCTGGGCCTAGTCTGTGCACGGAGGATTCATGCAGCCGCAGGGCCACCTGCAGGCCAGAGCGCCGGGTACAAAACTCGTTGTCTTAGAGCAAAACCCCTTTCAGGAAGTTCGGCAACAGGCGAAACTGAAGAGCTGAGTAGGGAACCTTTTACCATTTCAGGGTTATACATCCCTACAATAATGTAGAGGTTAACCTTTTTTGGTCCAGGGTACTCAGCAAATAGGGAAACGGGTTTGTGTTTGGGCCGCTTAAGGTAGCAGCTGGTTCGTATCGGGTTGAAGGAAGGGTTCAGGTAGCGGCGGTGGTGCGGAGTCCTGCTGCCAAAACAGGGCCGAGGGTTTGCTGAGTTTCTTGTTTCGAGTCAAGGGTCCGCAACGGAGGTTTCTAAAGCTTCCCAAAAAAAAGGCCTTAAACCCTAAAGCCTTCACCCAACTTTTGGTGGCAAAACCCTCAACCCTCCACCCTGTGGCTTTTGGGTTCTCCGGAATCCTTCCTTGTCTTCATAGCAGCATTCGGGGCTCGGGAGGGAAGGGCTTATAGGGCTTTAGTACGAGGTTCAGGGTCGTGTCTCTTTGTTAGGAAGCCTAAATATCCTAAAGCCTGATGCAAAGAAGCTTCTAGGGCTCTAGGGATTTACGGTGCATGCCCTACACCGGCCCACACCTCTAACCTCTCAATGAGAACGGCGACCCAAAAGTTTGGGTTGCCTGGCTGCGCTTGTGTCAAGCAACAGAATGTTTGCTGGCCTCTGCAGCACTGCAAGGGTAGCACTTTTCCGGGTCCTCGTTGCGAAAGGACCATCAAATTTTGAGAGCTGCCCACAAGCCAAAGTGGGCCGGCTGGAGGACCTTTGTCGTAGTATGAAACGACCGAAGGGTTCAGAACCTGCCGACGCCCAGCAGCCGACGGGGAGGAGGCGAACGCGGCCTAGAGAGGCGCGGCAGGCAAGTAGCCGAAGGACCGAGACGATCCTCGCGTGGCTCCTTGCTTGCGGGCCTAGGGGTCGCGGCACCTGGATGGCGTCATTGTTGCAATGGCATGGCCGGTGGAGGTCATGCCCGCATGCAAAACATCAGAGGCAAAAGACTAATTACACTCGGAAACCCCCAAAAAACACATAATTCTGACACCCAGCACCACTTGCACCAACTCCCAGACCCCTAACTAGCTCCTAAACTTCCAAAACCTCCGGAAGTCTAAACCCGACACCCTAAACTGCGCCCCGGACCCCCAAATCCTTTGGCCAGGTGCTCGCTGGCATGGTCGACTACGGTTTGGACCCCCAGGCATCCGATTTGGGTAGGGTTTAGGGTTTAGGGTTTAGGGTTTCAGGTTTAGGGTTTAGGGTTTAGCGTTTTTTTGGGATGAGGGCTTGGGGATTTAGGGTTCAGGGTTCAGGCCATCTTAAGCTGCAGCAGGCCATCCTACACTTCAAGTTTAGGTTAACGTAAGCAAAGTGTCTTAAATCCATCATGGACCTCAAGCTTTGAAATTTGGGGCGTAAGGAAAGGTTTCGGGTGGAGTTGGCGAATCCGACGACCGCAGCTTTGCACTTCGCCGCTTCTGATCGGGGCCTGGGTGCATGGGATGGAGCTGGGGGTGCTGACTTGGGGCTGAATATGGTCCTTACCTCCTCTAATTCTGAAGTATGGGCCCTTGGGTTGTACAGGGGGCCCAAGGGACCATGTAGTTCCCAGTCAAGTTGCATCCTCGTGTGACTCACACATGTGGCTGACTGAGCCACCTATTTCCCAACTCTAATCTGAGGAGCGGCATCTAGCCCGACCTAGACCCCCGGAAGTCCAAGTCATGCAAGCTCCCTATCCCGACCATGTTTGAAAGTAGCTGGTTGCAAGTGGTAGGGCGGTGTTTGGGCATAAGGAACCCGAAAAAGTTCTCAAAGGACAGCAGTTGAGCATCCAAGTGTGCAGCTTGATTTCGATGCAGCTCAGTGGTTTGCCCTGTGGGGTTTCTTCATAAACATAGCCAGCCCCAGCGGGTCCCAATGGGTACCCTGATCATCTGATGGTAATGATGTTACTGGTCTACCAGGAGAATTTCTTCGGGAGGGCTAGGGTAAGTTAGGGTTCAGGGGAGAGTCTCCCAGTGGCCAAGACGTGGCGCCCTCCCTTTATCCCTACATGGAGCCAGTGGCCTTCGCCGACCCTAAACCCGAAAGGCCGCCTTGGACCAGCCGCGATTTTGCTTGCAAGGCCCAGTGGCTCGTTGTTGGGAGGGCTCGAGGGCTGCCCCACGGGAGCCTACGCAATGTAGGGTCTAGGGTTTAGGGTTTAGGATTTAGGGTCCAGGATTTGCTTGGAGGTTCATGGGTAGGAAAAGTAGGGTCAAAAAGTATGGTAACTGTAGTTGTGACCTTGAATAGTGTACTTTTAACCCTTCAGAGTTCAGGGTTAGAGTTTCCTGGTGCTTCGAGTGTGGGCTCCGAAATGGGTTTGGTTTAGGGTACCCTTCTGCATCTTGTTCAGCTATAAAAAAACCCCAAAAGCAACCCCAGTTATCTATTTTATTAGTAGACCTATTTTCGGTGTGCTGAGGCCTTCGAAGGTTTAAGGCAAAGGGTCTCTTTGCGTTTTTGCTTCCAAGAGAGCCAGAAAGCTGTTTACGTCCTTGCGTGGAGAAGCTCGAGCGTGTGGCATAGCTACCGCGGCACCGGTGCTGTAATCCCATGGGCCGAAGCAACAGTCTTGCTGTGTTGTTTGGCCCGTCATGAGCCGGCAGAATGCCCGTGAACCCCAAGGGTCATCTTCAAGCTAGTCTCGACATGACTTGGTAGGCCCGTGGCATACGAAACTCCTTAACTTTGGGGATCAAGAGGATCTGCTTTTTGGCGCATTCTTCAGAGGGCTTTGAAGGGCCCGCCAACCGACCAGGAGTACAAGACCCTAAACGCCTAAACCCTAAACGTCCTCAACACCCTAAACCCCCCAAAAGGTGTGGATAGCGCACTCGGCCCGGAGACGGCAGAGTCATCGATCCTTCTTTTGGAGGAAGGCGTGCCCAAGGAAACGCAGGAGCCCACTTACGCCTGGCCTGCCCCGTTCAGGGGTTGGAGAATGTGAGGGTTCCCAAATCCCTAAACCCTCAACTCCTTAGGTGCATCTAGGGAGTACTGGCCCGGAGCGTGTCTTGTGAGCACTCTGCTTAGGTTTGGGCAGTTAGGGCTTGTTTGCAGTACTGGGGGCATGCTCGGGGGTGTTTTGTCACTCGTAGCTGTCTGAACTGGATCCTCGTACGCATTTACCAGTGTGAGAGTCGAAACCCTGAACCCTGAATCCTAAACCCTAAACCCTAGGCACAAATTCATGTAAGGCTTTATTGTTTTGGGGTTCTGAAGAAAAGTAGTAGATTTAAAGCTTCACCCCCCCCCCCCCCCCCCCCAACTCCACAGACATGTATCCTGCATGGAAGTTTCTGCAGGGTTCCCAGTTTCGGATTTGGGGACCCGGGGCTCTTCATTGTAGATGCTTCTCGGAGGTTCCTAAGATGGTGCAGGGTCCGAAAGTCCGGGGGGGGGGGGGGGCACCCTAAACCCGCAAACCCTAAAACCCTAAACCCGAAACCCTAAACCCTTAACCCTTAACCCTTAACCCTAAACCCTAAACCCTAAACCCTAAACCCTACCACCCCAAACCCTAAACCAAGGAGGAGCTGCAACGCATGGGCCATCCCTGCAAGCCCGCCATGGGCCCTGGGCCATTTTTCTTCTCGGAGTTTCTACTCTTTGCCTAAGAACCCCACAAGAATTATTAAAAAAAAAGCAATAAGGATCTCTATACTGCCCTTAAGAAGGCAGAATCTTTTCATTTTCTCGGGGTTCTTAGGCAATTAGTAGGTTTCGGGTGTTTGTAGGGTTGAGGATTCTCGGGGGGTCCCTTGGGTGCCTCCCCCCCCCCGCACCCCCGCAACAAGAAAAAAACTTGCGACTTCCTGTGCGAACAGCAGCTGAGGAAGCTGGCAATAAGGCTGAACTTCGTCTCACGGTAGAAACGCCCTCACGCCTGAAGCTTCAAGACTTCTATACTGGGTTCGCGTTTAAAGTACCCAACCAACAAAAAGGGTTTAGGGTTTAGGGTTAGGGTCAAGCCCTCTCAACCCGCTAAAGGCCTTGGACCTTGAACACAAGCAGTAGCGCATGGCATGCTGACGTTCAACGAGGTGTGATGTACTTGGGACTGGTATTTGGGTAGCCTACGCTTTCGTTTGCAGGGAATTGGAAGGGACAACCTTGCTCCTGTATTATTCCCACCCTAGTCCAAAGACAACAGGTTGACACTTGAATCCACAAGGTGTCTGGTTGGGCGCGGCACGTCTTTGGCCGGGGTCAAGTCATCTGCCGTCGCCCCAGCACATCTCAGTGCTGTTAGGGTTTTGAGGTGCTTTGAAGAAGGTTGAGGTTGTGCGCTTAATCCTCTCCCCCTCACAAATGCCACGAACACGAGTGTAGATTAGCAGCCGTGCCACGACAACATGAGTACTTCATGATGCAGATGTGCGAGTCTTCAAGTCGCCAACGTGACACAAGAGCAGGAGCAGCAGCCTTTGCCGCAGCAACAACAACAACAGCAACAACCAAAGGGACCAACGAATCAGCAACAGCAGCAACAATCGTCACCACAACATACCACAACCATACCCGCCACCACACCAACCACACCAGCCACACCAACCACATCAACCACACCAACCACAACAACCACGCCAACCACGCCAACCACGCCAACCAAGCCATTCACATCAACCACCACGACGACGACGACGACGAAGACGAAGACGAAGACGAAGACGAAGACGAAGACGAAGACGAGGACGACGAATGCGAGGAAGACCAAGATTAAGACCAAGACCACGATCAAGACCACGACCAAGACGACGACGAGGCAATGGCAAGGACAAACGGACCAACAAAACTCAGCAGCAACGGCAACGGCAACAGCATCAGCATCGTCGTAGCACCAATTTTACAAGCCCACCGCGAAGACCGAGCTGAAGCTCCAACGATGTCACCATCCTCGTGACTCAAGAGCACGCCTTTTGATTAACAAGAAATCCCCAAAACCCTAAATCTAAATCCCTTGCTCAAAAAGGGTTTAGGTTTACAGACAGTTTCGGGGATGCCCTCGTCTTCATTCCGAGCCCGAAGGCCGCGACCCAAACACCGGCGTCCTCTCCGGGGGCACGGAGCTGCCTTGGGGGGGGGGGGTTCAGTGAGCCTGAATTGGAGGTTCATGGATATTTACAAGTAGGGTTACAAGTGTGGTAATAGTTTTAGCCTTTGTTACAACCATACCTATAAGTGCCCATGAAAGGGTTTGGGGTGATGTGACTCAAACCCAAACCAGAAACGAGAGTTTGACAATTCTGCTTTCGGGATGTTAGCTGGGGGTCTTCTGAGGGTCTTCAGTTCTTTGAAGCTGTCATTAGGTAAACACACCCTTGGATGCTGCAGTGCGTCCTCCAGCGCATTGTCTGTACTGACTGAGATCAGGTTGTGCCAACTGAACGGCCTCGCTGGGTTTTTGGGGGGGATGCGGGGTTGTGGAGGTGCGATGGGTTTTGAGTTCCAAGTTCAGTATGGCCGGAAGCCCGAAGCCCCTACAACGCGTTGAACCACGGCCTGCAAACCCCCCAAACAAGGAGGAGAGTGGATGACGCGAACATCCCCGTGAAGAATCCCTAAATCAGGGTCCCTTTCGGGGGGCTCATAATACGGAACTTCATTTACAGGGTGCCACTCAAATTTGAAGAACTGACCTATGGGTTTTTGCCGCGAATTATTCGTTTGCCATCTGGCTCAGCAAGGGGAGGACATGACGGCAAGACCAGGAGAGCGACAATTTACCCCGCACGGTTGCAGTGTGCCAAAGCTACGGACTACCCTATGCCCCCTTTCCAAAGGCCCTTTGCAGGGTGGTTTGTCGGGATTAGGACGCCTCACGGCCCATCCTGGATGGTGCTGCTGAAAATCCTCCTTGCTGGGTGGCTTCTTCCCCCTTCGCTGGGGGATGGGCCGTCCGAGGCTTCGACGACCACTTCGACGACCACTTCGACGACCTCGGACCCCAACGCCGCCTCGACGACCTCTGACCCCAACATTGTCAACATCTCAGGTGCGAGCCCGGATGTATGTAACCCCTACCGGGGGTATCGCTACATCTCCATTGGAGCTGCAGGGGGAATAGCTTCCGGCACGTGCGGGGCCAGCTGGGATCTCTATGAGGTCGAGATGTGGGAGACGTATACCGCGGCCGGCAGGGTTTCGGGTCTCCAGGCTTCGTCGCCTACTGGGCATGATTCGGGCTACCCACCCGCGAAGGCGGTGGATGGTAGTATGGACTCTTTCTGGGCCGGCGACCACGATGTCGGTATGAGCCTTCCCTCACTTAGTTTTCGGTCTCCACGGTCTCCCAAAACCTAAACTTGAAGTCTGACGGTCGTTCCGAAGGTTTCCGAAGCCTCGCCTCCCGTGTGCCCTAAACCCTAAACCCTAAACCCCAAACCCTAAACCCTAAAAACCCTATAAACTTTACAACCCTAAACCCCAAGGAGCTGCAGCTGTTGGGACGACTCGAAGAAGGATGGCCAGCTGATAACCATCGGCTTTCAGGGGGGCGCGAGCCCTTCGATCTCCACGGTGCTGGATGAGCAATAGAACCAACTCTTTTCATCTCGGCTCGAAAATTTAGGGTTTAGGGTTTAGGGTTTAGGGTTTAGGGTAATAACCTGTGGGCCTGACCAGGAGCAGTAGACTAGAAGTGCTCGGGGTGTTCAACTCCGGACTTGAGGTCAGAATTCGCCAGGGAGGCAACAGCAACAGGTGGGCGGTGAAGCGCGTCCGCTTCTTGGCATTCTCTGAGTGACCTCGGCCTCATCGATGTCCCTTAGTAGGTGTGTTTGCTTGAGGCGCAATCTTGCAGAGACACATCCAATCAAACTGTAGTCTCCTCAAGAGGATGTGGTCTTGCTTTGTCGATCTCAAACGCGAATATGAAGCCGAATTTCATTTCAACACGGGGAGTCTGGGTGGGGGGGGGCTCTTTTTCGGCTATTTTGGGCTTGTTTGACGTCTTTTATGAACAAAATCCCAGCACCTAACAACAAATCGAGCAAAGACACATGTCTGGGACTCTCCAGAGTGCTCCGGGGAAGTTGGCGTTCTTTGTTTAGTTTAGTGTTGCGCTCCGGCTTTTTCGGGGTTTTGTTGTCGAGATCACAAATACGCAAACGGGATGCAAAAGGGTTTAAGGATGTAAAAAGGGTCTAGGTTGGGATGCTCCCCCTAAAACTCACAGTCCGTGATAGGGATTATAATGGGGGGCACTAGAATCCCTCTTAGGGACTGGTAGTATAACGGGGAACCCTAAACCCCCAACCCTTAAACCCCAAACCCTAAGTTAGTATGAGGGGGGAACATCCCCCCAGGTGTAGGGTTTCAAGGGGGGGAGGGGATCTGGTGCAGCCCAGGCTTGCACTGCCATGACCAAGTGGGACTCGCCTCGGCCTCCGTCCTTCCTCTCGAGTTCGACGTGTCCATGGTGGGTTTCGGGTTGAGGGCTTAGGGCTTGTCAACCCTGAACCCCTTGGTGCCCTGTTGCCCTTTTTGGGGTCTAGGCTCCCTTCTGACGTAACCAAGCCCCAAAAAAGGGTCCCAACACAGCGGGAAGTCCCGGAGCAAAAGCAGTGCGTTAAGGGAGTTGGGTTTCCTGCGTCTGTACCGTAATAAATACATGCATAAAAAACAAGTATCTATATGCGTATATATATATATGTATACACCCCCCCCCCCCCATGGCACCTGCCTGCTGTGGCTTCTGTCATGGTCCAGAAGTCCAAAAACTCCGCCGACAGTACAAGATGTCCAGACTCAACAGTCCAAAGGTCCATTTGCCTTTGGAGTTGTGGACTTTTGGGCTGTTGGGCTCCTTTTTTTTTGTGGATGTTCGGGCCTCAGAAGCCCGGACAGGGCTAATTGCATGATCTACATGACGTCTCTTGCTTTACAAAAGCAAAAGGGTTTAGAATATAAGGCAATGTAGCGTTCCTTGGTTTCATATGTTGATTGCTTTGTGCCACTTTGAATTGGAGGTCACTCCTGCTACTGAAGTTACTCGAGTTACATATCTTCGTGGTTCATTTTTTTTTTGAAGAAACATGATTTGCATGATTCCTGGGAGAATTTAAGATGCAACTTCAACAAAAAACGCTCCGAAGCAGCTGACTGCGGCAGGGCGACACCCTTGTCACTTGCGGACCTGCTGGTTGTGCCTTTCTCTCCGATGGAAGGACTGTATGCACCCGTATGTTATTTCATTCAGTTGCTTTGCCTGGAACCCTAAACCCCAAACTAGAGCGAGCTGCGGGTCCTGCGATAAGCAGCAGCGAGCGATACAGCGTGGCGCCAGCCCGCGGACGAGCCCGAGCCGTCCGGCGAAGCCTGGCGAGGGCTCGGGGCCAGTGCGCGCGATGAGCGCGGCCCACGCATAGAAGGGTGGAACCCGCGTGCCAGCGTCAGTCTGGCCCCAAAGAGAATAACCCTAAACCCTCGGTTTTAAAGTTAAAACCACGCATCCTTCCCCGTAAGGGGCCTTCCCCGTAAGGGGCCTTCCCCGTAAGGGGCCTTCCGCGTAAGGGACTAAGGGGCCTTCCCCGTAAGGGGCCTTCCCCGTAAGGGGCCTTCCCCGTAAGGGGCCTTCCCCGTAAGGGGCCTTCCCCGTAAGGGGCCTTCCCCGTAAGGGGCCTTCTGCGTAAGGGGCCTTCCCTGTAAGGGCCTTCCCCGTAAGGGGCCTTTCCCCGTAAGGGGCCTTCCCCGTAAGGGGCCTTCCCCGTAAGGGGCCTGCCCCCGTAAGGGGCCTTCCCCGTAAGGGGTCTTCCCCGTAAGAGGCCTTCCGCGGGGCCTTCCCCGTAAGGGGCCTTGTCTGTAAGGGGCCTTCCCCGTAAGGGGCCTTCCCTGTAAGGGGCCTTCCCGTAAGGGGCCTTCCCCGTAACGGGCCTTCCCGGTAAGGGGCCTTCCCCGTAAGGGGCTTTCCCCGTAAGGGGCCTTCCCCGTAAAACGGAGGGTCACCCAAAACCATCGTTTTTCAATACTAAAAAATCGCATTTTTACGACGGGTCCGGCCAAATCCTGGAACAGGGCCTTTAGAGTGACCCCCGCCAGAGCACCCCTACCAGAGCACCCCCGCCAGAGCACCCCCGCCAGAGCATCCCGCCACCGTAAGGGGCCTTCCCCGTAAGGGGCCTTCCCCGTAAGGGGCCTTCCCCTGTAAGGGGCCTTCCGCATAAGGGGGGCCTTCCCCGCAAGGGTCCTTCCCCGTAACCCGAAGGGGCCTTTACCCGTAAGGGGCCTTCCCCGTAAGGGGCCTTCCTCGTTAGGGGCCTTCCCCGTACGGGGCCTTCCAGGTGCGGGGCCTTCCCCCCGTAAGGGGCCTTCCCCGTAAGGGGCCTTCCCCGTAAGGGGCCTTCCCCGTAAGGGGCCTTCCGCGTAAGGGGCCTTCCCCGTAAGGGGCCTTCCCCGTAAGGGGCCTTTCCCGTAAGGGGCCTTCCCCGTAAGGGGCCTTCCCTGCAAGGGGCCTTCCCCGTAAGGGGCCTTCCCCGTATGGGGCCTTCCCCGTAAGGGGCCTTCCCCGTAAGGGGCCTTCCCCGTAAGGGCGTAAGGGGCCTTCCCCGTAAGGGGCCTTCCCCGTAAAGGGCCTTCCCCGTAAGGGGCCTTCCCCGTAACGGGCTTCCCTGTCAGGGGCCTTCCCGTAAGGGGCCTTCCCCGTAACGGGCCTTCCCCGTAAGGGGACTTCCCCGTAAGGGGCCTTCCCCGTAAGGGGCCTTCCCCGTAAAACGGAGGGTCACCCAAAACCATCGTTTTTCAATACTAAAAAATCGCATTTTTACTACGGGTCCAGCCAAATCCTGGAACAGGGCCTTTAGAGTGACCCCCGCCAGAGCACCCCCACCAGAGCACCCCCCGCCAGAGCCCAGAGCATCCCGCCACCGTATGGGGCCTTCCCCGTAAGGGGCCTTCCCCGTAAGGGGCCTTCCCCGTAAGGGGCCTTCCCCTGTAAGGGGCCTTCCGCATAAGGGGGGCCTTCCCCGCAAGGGTCCTTCCCCGTAAGGGGCCTTCCCGGTAAGGGGCCTTCCCCGTAAGGGGCCTTCCCCGTAAGGGGCCTTCCCCGAAGGGGCCTTCCTCGTAAGGGGCCTTCCTCGTAAGGGGCCTTCCCCGTACGGGGCCTTCCCCCCGTAAGGGGCCTTCCCCGAAGGGGCCTTCCCCGTAAGGGGCCTTCCCCGTAAGGGGCCTTCCGCGTAAGGGGCCTTCCCCGTAAGGGGCCTTCCCCGTAAGGGGCCTTTCCCGTAAGGGGCCTTCCCCATAAGGGGCCTTCCCTGCAAGGGGCCTTCCCCGTAAGGGGCCTTCCCCGTAAGGGGCCTTCCCCGTAAGGGGCCTTCCCCGTAAGGGGCCTTCCCCGTAAGGGCGTAAGGGGCCTTCCCCGTAAGGGGCCTTCCCCGTAAAGGGCCTTCCCCGTAAGGGGCCTTCCCCGTAACGGGCTTCCCTGTAAGGGGCCTTCCCCGAAAGGGGCCTTCCCCGTAAGAATTTTTTCGTAAGGGGCCTTACCCGTAAGGGGCCTTCCCCGTAAGGGGCCTTCCCCGTAAAACGGAGGGTCACCCAAAACCATCGTTTTTCAATACTAAAAAATCGCATTTTTACTACGGGTCCGGCCAAATCCTGGGGCAGGGCCTTTAGAGTGACCCACGCCAGAGCACCCCCACCAGAGCACCCCCGCCAGAGCACCCCCGCCAGAGCATCCCGCCAGTTCAGTTAGGATTTAGATTTTTTTGGAAAACGGAGAGTCACCCAAAACCATCGTTTTTCAGTACTAAAAAATCGCATTTTCACTACGGGTCCGGCCAAATCCTGGGGCAGGGCCTCCTCATCCCAGACAGTTTCTGAGCGCTCCTCGGACCATTTCTGCGCTTTTTTGGGCTCCTCCGGACCCCCGCCAGAGCACCCCCACCAGAGCACCTCCGCCCGGACCATTTCTGAGCCTTTTTGGGCTTCTCCCGGACCGTTTCTGAGCCTTTTGGGGCTCCTCCCGGACCCTTTTTTGGGCTAGGCCCGGACCATTTCTGAACCAGGAAATCTTTTCAGGAAGCCTCCTTCGGCCAGGCCTCCCAAACTTCATGAGGTCCCAGGACAGTCGCAGGACCAAAAACCAAAGGGAGCCCAAGGCATAGACCTGTGGGTCTTGTAAGCCCGGTATAAGCATCATAATTTGGAAACACCGGGCAAAAAAAAACCTAAACCCGCCAAACAAACCTATGGATCTTGGGGGGACAGAGAGGCCTTCGCAGGGGGTACCCCAGGATTTGGTCAAAGGCGGCCCGTAGCCCCCCTCCCACTACTGTACTTACACACGATATTATAAAACCCTAAACCCGCCCAAGGTTGAGATGTGGGTGGGTGGGTTGGGAGAGTGCGTTGAACCTGGGCGCACACCACAACACACGTCCCGCGTGGTGGTGTGCGCGGAACCTTAGGAAACCCCAAACCCTAAACCCTAAACCCCAAACCCTAAACCGTAAACCCTAAGCCCTAAACCCCAAACCCTAAACCCTAAACCCTAAAATCCAGAAGACGCCCTTCACAGCTCAGGCTCCGCAGAGCTGTCCCCGGCATACCACAACACCTGCATCTGGGCTTGCAACACCTTGGATACGCGTGAACCCCCCCGGTTTAGGGTTTAGGGTTTAGGGTTTAGGGTTTAGGGTTTAGAAGGCTTCAGAATGTGGCAACAAGAGGCGTCATTTATTTTCATGCTCTCCTGAGATTTCTTCACAGGCCTTGACCAAAGGTTTGAGCCACCACCATTGTCAGCAGCGCAGCTGTAAACCCTGAAACTGTTGGTGTTTCGGGGCTCAGGTTTTTATGTCCCAGCCCTGGGTTTAGGGTTTCGTTCTTAGGGGCGTAGAGAGGTTAGAGTGCAGGGCACGCTCCCCTGGCATGGCACTCCTCCCAGCCATCAGGCACCGGCGTTGCATCCGCCCATGGTGCCGGCTTGGCCCTGGGCATTGCTGCGGTTCTTGGTGGGCTAGTGGTGCTCTGATCATGGCCTCGTGGGCTGCCGGTAGAGTTTTTCACTTGGCCCAAGATCTCTGGAAGCGCGCTTCGCCTGGGAGTCGAGAACTTAACTAGAGCGCCTACTCTGGGTGCTCTTGACGGTTCATGGCGACTTAGCACCATATTCTCGCTCCTGGGGTTCCTAGACTGCTCCATTGCGTCACCAGGGCCTCCTGCCGCTCTAAAGCGCCAGGCGCCCACCTGTACAGACGAGAAGCAGGCTTAAACAAGCTTGGACTCAGTGCTCGGTCTCAGCAGCGACAGCAAATCATATGGCCGACTTGTGCAAAGTACCATCCTCCTCAACCCCAAACCCCAAGACCCTAAGATGTAAACCATCGAAGCCCTAAACCCTAAGCTCTAAGCCCTAACCCCTAAACTGAATTGCCCCGGACCTCTCCAAGATACATTGTCGCGGGACCCATCGAAAGCTGAACCATCAGCCTCCTCTTGCTGGTGTGAGCGCCCTTGAGCCATGGAGCCCCCTAAATCCCATGAACTCCAAAACTCTCAGCCCCCCCGCCCCACCTTAAACCCGTACCCTAAACCCTATATGAGAGTGTGTGCGGCGAGGGCTCATGTGAACAGTGTGTGCCTGCAATGGGCAGAGCTTGCTCTACGGAAAGGGCTTAGTGCGCTCGAACACATCTGTGTTTCAGGAATGCATGGTCCCTGAGAACCCTTACCTTCTTTTAAAGGTTCTGAAGGAATTTAATCGGGTATATATAATCATAAGGGTTCCCAATCAGGGGCCCATATCAAGGGCCCCTAAACCCTAAACCCTAAAACCATAAAACCCTAAAGCCCTAAAACCCTAAAACCCTAAAGACCCGAATAACCCTAAGACCCCAAAGCCCTAAATCCCCAAGTCCCTAAAACCCTCAAAGCCCAGCCAGATCCCAAAAACCCTAAGACTCTAAATCCCCCTAAAACCCTGAAACCCTAAAACCTTAAAACCTTAAAGTCTAAATCCCGAAAAAACCCTAAAACCCCAAAACTCTGAAACCAGCCGCGGGAACCGGCCTCCCCACGTTGGGAGCGCTCGCAGGAGCCTCGCGCCGACGGGGCCGTGCTGGCCTGGTAGGCGGGCTTGCTGTTGGTGTTTAGGGTTTAGGGTTTAGGGTTTAGGGTCTAGGGTCTAGGGTCTAGGGTTTGTAGGGTTTGTAGGGTTTGTAGGGTTTGTAGGGTTTGTAGGGTTTATAGGGTTATAGGGTTTATAGGGTTTAGAGGGTTTAGAGGGTTTAGAGGGTTTATAGGGTTTATAGGGTTTATAGGGTTTATAGGGTTAGAGCTGATCCTTCTTCTTGGAATTTTGCGGCCTCCTTGCTGCAAGGAGTTCTATTTTCCTCATGGGGAGGGGGTGGTGGGGTGAGGGATCACTTCAAGCGAATTGAAACTTTCCTCAAGTAAGGCATCCCAACTATTATCGCCCGAAAGTGTACCCCTGCTTTCGGAACCCCAGCTATTTGAGTTCAGGATCTGAGCAGTTGGCCAGGGGCGGTGTACTTGCATGCGTTGGCGCGGATCCGCAAATCAGATTCGGGCCAAGGGCATGTGCAGGGCGTAGGCCAACTAATATGCAGGGGGCTGTGTGCTTTTTGGAGCAACGTGCGTGCGGCACGTGTGAACGGCTCAAGATTCATCGGCCTTTTGGATCTGATGTGACTCATGAGCAAGCACAGGACATGGCATCGAAAGACCATGAAAGGGACGTGTTGCCCTTCTCCAGCTCTCAAAAAAGTGCGCGGGCCATGGCGCTGCTGAAAATACTCGTTGCAGGGTGGCTTCTGCCTTCGCGAGGGGATGGGCCGTTGGAGACATCGTCTTCGACTTCGACGACCCCCGACCCTGCTAGCATCTCAGATGCGAGCGTTTGCAACCCTTACCGGGGGTATAGCTACATCTCCATCGGGGCTGCCGGGGGCATCGGCTCCAGCCAATGCACTGCCAGCTGGGATCTCTATGAAGTCGAGGTGCGGACCTCCAACGGCCAGGTTTCCGCTCTCACGGCTTGGTCGCCCACTGGATCTGACAGCGGCCACCCCCCCTCCGAAGCTGTAGACGGTGATCTCAACTCTTTCTGGGCGGGCGACCACGACCTCGGCATGAGCCTTGCCGGGTCATAAAAGGGTTTAGGGTTTAGGGTTTAGGGCTGAGGAGCGTTCGTGTCCCTTCCCCTTGGTCAAGTAACCTGGTCCTGAAACCAGAGGTCCGAGACTAAGCCATTCAGAAAGGTCGGGCTGAAGGGAAAAGCCCGAAACCTTTTCGAATCCAAGACAAAGCTGCGAAGTTTGTGCAGATAAGCAAAAAAGCAACGAGCTGCCTTAACCTCTGGCAACAAAGAACCGCTAAACCCCAACCCCCAAACCTCAAACCCCAAACCCCCAACCCCCAACCCCCAAACCCCAAACCCCAAACCCCAACTCCCAGCCCCCAAACTCCAAACCCCCAACCCTCAAACCCCAAACCCCAAACCCCAAACCCTAAACCAAGCCACCGGCCTCGAACTCAAGGAGTTGCAGCTGCTGGGACGACTCGAAAAAGGATGGCCAGCTTGTCAGCATCAACCTCGGCGGAGCCCAGAATATTACCTCAGCACCTGGTCGGCACTCGAAACACATCTGGGTTTAGGGTTTAGAGGGTATAGGGTTTAGGCTTTAGGGTTTAGGGGCACTCGAACACATGTGGGAGCAGGGGTTTATAGGGTTTGGGGTTTAGGCAGGGGCCTGACACGGATGTGGGTTCAGGGTTCTGGGGGCTCCTGAACCCTACGCTCTAGCTATATCCGTTGGACCTTGGACCTTACAAAACGTCGACCCTGCAATGGACACCGACACTGACTCCAGACTTGAGGTTACAATTCATCAGGGAGGCAGCGGCGACCAGTGGGCTGTGAAGCGCATGCGCTGCTTGGCAGCATTAGGTTTAGGGTTTAGGGTTTAGGGTTTAGGGTTTAGGTTTAGGGTTTAGGGTTTAGTGTGAGGTTCCCTTGCGGCACAGATTTTTTCGGAGAGTGGCCTTCTCAACAGAAGGAGGCAGTCGCTGCGGTCCTTCTTTCCCCGCTCTTGGGGAACCTCCGTGTGCTGTTGTGTTCTGTTCGGAGTGCTTAGTGCTAGGGTTCCATCGCTAGCCATTGCATTCTATCATCGTGTTTAGGACCCAGAGCTTAGGGTGCAGGGTGTCAAGCATCGTCGTACTGGCAGTGGCCAGGTTCAAGTTAGCAGCGTTCTCAGCCACAACAGCTTGACGGGCAGGGAAGGTTGCATTGTCGATTGGGAGAGCCCCCGCCGACAAGAATGATATGAGCCGTTGCAGCACTCGTATATACTCGCATGCCACACTAGGCATGTCGTTTTGGGGATGTGTCGTGCTAGGGTGCGGTACTCGGAAGCTCTCACTGCAGCCCAGGCTTGCACTGTCATGACCAAGTGGGGTACTCCTCGGCCACAGTCCCCCCGCTCGAGCTCGACGTGTCCATGGTGGGCGGCTGTTGAGACATGTGCAACCTAAGTTTGGGAATTGAGGTTTGGGCTTGGAGGACGTGCAGCGCTGAGGGGGGGATTGAGGGAAAAGTTTCAGAGAGAAAGTGTTTTGAGGGACTTGGCGGTTTCTTTCGTTTCAAGACTAAGGCTTGATTGTGGCCGCCTTCGGGGGTTTTGATGGTTGATGGTCAAAAGTGCTCAGCCACAGGGTTGCCCTGGCTTATAAAATTTCTTCCCCTGAGTGAGACCTCCTTCCACGCACCCAAGAATTAAATGACGAGCAGAGCTCGCCGGAGCCAGTTTTTCCTATCTTGAATACTGGGATTCACACAAAACAGTGGGGTTTTGGGTCCTAACGCCCAGAACTCCGCTTTCGTCCCCTGCTGCAAAAGTCCGCATTTTTGGAGTCGCCACCCTCCGCCAGACGATCCCAGGAGTGGAGCCCACCCACACAATCACCATGTAACCCTCAACCTCAAACCTACCAACAGTTTTTGCAGTTCAGACCGGGCAAACCAGCTAGCTGCCACCGCCAGGGTGTCACGACCATCACCTGCGGGCCTGCTGGCTGTTCCTTCTCTCGGATAGAAGGGATTGTGTGTCTCTGTACGTTGTGCTTTTTGTGTTTTTTTGCTGCTGTGCCTGTCAGAGCTCCCTTTTTAGCCACACAACCGGCGCACTGCGCACCTCACAACTTAGGCACTTCGGCGCTCCTCCCGGCATACCACGACACCTGCATCTGGGCTATATAGCAAGACTCTTGAAGAGCGCCTTTACCCACGCCAAGCTTATTAAAGAGGCTATCTTCCGATTCTTTTCTCATTTCCTAAAGCTTGCCCCTTGGCCAAAATGCCCGTCCAGTTCAGCCGTAAACCCTGAAATTGTGTCTTTTGGGTTCTCGCGCTTTAGATCTTTATGGGACTCTTGCTTGAAATTTCATGGCCAGGCTATATGGGTGATCACTACCTCAGGCAAGTTCTCACAACCCAATGGCCGCGTGGGTTTAGAGTCTAGGGTTTAGGGTTCAGTGTTCAGAGGTTTCCTCTGAGCCCTCAGGCAGTGGTGTTGCATCTGCTCATGGTGCTGGCTTGGCCACAGTCATCGCTGCGGTTCTTTGTGAGCTGGTGTTTGTCGGGTAGAGCTGCTTTAAGTTGCTCGGCAGCCGAATCTTAAGGCTGAGTGCCTCAGGATGTTACAGTTAAGGTTACGGTATAAACTCGGAACCTAGGGACACAGCTGAGCCCAAGAGCCACCCCTGCAGACTCTTTTTCTCCTGCCGCTCTAAAGCGCCAGGACGCCTAGAGGTGCCCGCTTGTACAGGCTCAGGCTCACTCGGATCCAGTGTTAAGTCTCACCAATGCGACGGCAGGGTCGACAGGTACAAAGTACCGACGCGTGTTTGCTTCGGCTCTGGGTTGTAGCATCCATACCATTGCAGGTATTTCGGCCCGTGTGACTATTCAAAGATTTTCACGCCCTTCTTCGGCTGCGTGCAGTAGCTTTGAGGTGAGTTACTTTCCCGAGCTCCGCGATTGCCCGGCCAAAGAAAAGGCACGCCAGGAATGTCTCACCATGGCTTCGGCATCATAGGAGCTGCGAGTACTTAGCAATTACCACTCTTCCTGGCTTTGATCCTTTGGAGAAGGTCCACTCTTTAGGCATGTCGTCAGCAGATGAGCAAGGGCGCTGGGTGCCACTGGATGGCTGGACGACCAAACTATGGAAAGCACGCATATGCTATGCTTACAAGAGCCCCCAATACCAATACCATTATGGAGACCCGTCCCCATGGAGGTTTATGAGGGCTTTGGGTGGTGGGGTTTGGAGGCCCAATGGCTTGCAAGTGAAAGGTCTGAACACAGGGCTGTTCTGTGCCCGTCGCACGCAGGCCTCGAGACTCTGCAAGCCTCATTGCCAAAATGAGGGAGGGGGGCCCTCTACATACCCTGAGCCCTGAACCCAAATGCACCTTATCAACTGCACCGATGTGATTGAAAACCCCTAATTAGCACTGGTCTTCCATGAGCAGGCTTAGACCCGCGCTTCCTGCTGACGTGAGAGTCGGCGCCACCACCGCGGCGGGAAGCTCCTACCCTAGTGGGTCAAGTTAGACCCTAAACCCCAAACCCGACACCATGCTCAGCCTGATGGAAAGAGAGGCGCTTTTTAGTTAGGTCGCCAGGGCGGGGGGGTCTAGTTAGAATTTTGGCATCCCGGGGCTCAGGGTTGAAGGCCAAGAGCCCCTAAATCTTAGTCTCTAAGCCCTGAGCCCTAGTGTTTCGGGTTTAGGGTTCTGGGTTTTGGGATCGGAGTCTAGGATCCCTATGACTTGATGTATCGACTCCGGTGCTGCATCCCGCATCATCCCGTGCTAGAAGAGGCCACATGATGCCACAGCTTGTCGGATGGTAGGGTTCTAGGGTTTTAGGGTTTTAGGGTTTGAGGGTTTGAGGGCTTTACATAGGTTTTCGGGTTAGGGATGAAGGGAAGGAGGGAGGGAGAGGGAGACAGAGAGATAGGGAGCTAAACAATGAGAGAGTGAGACAGAGGCAGAGAAGACAGAGACCGAGTTATTGCAGGGTGTTTGTGTTTTGTGGCTTTAGGGTGGCTGGAAGTATCGAATCCAAGGCTACAGCTCCCTTGGGACTTGCAGTCATTGCTCTGCGTTGTGTAAAACCAAAGCCATAAGATTATAAGGGGAGCATCGTACAGTGAGACTGAGGGCTTCCAGTGACAGCGCTGATATGGTTTAGGGGTCATCCCAAGAAACCCGAGCAGGGCATGTGTCAATGCCAAACCCTAAAACCCCACCCAACTACCCAGGCCCTAAACCCAAGTCTGCAGATCTTGGCTGTAGGGTTTAGGGAAAAGGGAGGCTTGCAAGGTGCAACAGGGAGGGTGGAATATCCTTTACATCCCGGCTGCAGGCGTTGAGGCCAGTGCAGCCGGGTTTTCGGGTTCGGGGCAGCCACGCCCCAATCCCTAGACCGTAGCGCTCCCGGGACCTTCCTGGGGCGGCGACGTTGGCGGGCTCAACCCCAAACCGGGCATTTGAAAACCTCCTGCATCATTGCAGATCGATTGAAAAAGGAGATGGCGCTCTGGGGGTTCAAGGCATCGTTTGGGGTTTTGTTCTTCGCGCTTCGGCAGGTGAGCTTGGCAATTCGGTTTCCGGGTGTTGGTGGATGTTAGGGCACGTGGGCTGTTTTGTGTTCTCGGGCTCCGTTGTTTTTTGTAGTTGAGGCGCAAGTAGTGTTGGAACGACTGTACGGATGTTGGGCAAGAACTGCAGGTTCAAGGAATTCCCCAACTTGCAAGCGTGCCATCAGCAAAGGCAAGCGGAGCAAAGGCATCGTGCCTGCTTGGCCTACGACCGCCGCTTGGAGGCAGCCAGTGAAGGCCGTTCTCCTACATGCAGAGCCCCGAGGCCTTCGAGAAGCCCTTTGAGGTCCCAAGAGGCCCTAAAGCCCTGCGTTCCCAAACGCCCGAAGCCCCCTGCAAAGCCCCAAAACCTGGATGCTTTCGGTTCTAGGCCTGGGGCTTTCAGCCAGGTTTAGTCAGGTGTAGGGTTGCCCTAAACCCTAAACCCGAAACCCTAAACCCTAAACCCCAAACCCCAAACCCCAAACCCCAAACCCCAAACCCCAAACCCCAAACCCCAAACCCCAAACCCCAAACCCCAAACCCTAAACCCTAAACCCTAAACCCTAAACCCTAACCCTAGAGCCTACGCCCTAGGGTTGATAGTGCTTTCTGCACTCTTACCGGCTCAGGCTGCCACAGCAAAGCAGTCTCCGACATGGCGGGAACTTGTGCTTCAGGATTTGTGATTTCACGGTAGGGTGTAGGACCCTTGGGGTGCTTAGGGTTTAGGGCTTAGGGCTTAGGGTTCAGGGTAGGTTGGACCTTGAGAGTTTGTGTTTTTCACTCGCTTAGGTTGGAGTGCATCTCATGCTCGGGTTCGGGGTGTGCGAGCAGTGCCCCTAAAGGAAAGCCATGAGGCTCTAAGCCCTAAACCCTAAACACCTTTGCAGGCTAGCCTGAAGAACGACTTCTGTGTGGAAGGGGGCCAGGAGGCACGACCAGCGGATGTGAAGTGAGAGGTGCATGAAATGCCATACCTGTCAAGGCTTAAGCACCTCACTGGGTTTCTTTCGAAATCCAGCAGCCTCAAGACTTCCGAAACATATATATATATAAATATGTATATATATATATACATACATACATACATACATATATAAAATATACACATAGTTCCGAAATACAAGCAACTACACTCCCCCCCATATGTACACATGGTACTGCCGCAGGGGATGCTGAAGTCGGAGGCCAAGGCCATCGCACAGGTGCCACCGAGTTGAAATCGCAGGGACCGTGTCTTTGTTTTCAGTCTTCAGCCGCAAGTCTCGGGATTAGAGGGTTAGGGTTTAGAGTTCGTTGAGGGGGTTTTGGGGATTTTGGCCGCAGGTCTAGGGTTCAGGGTTCAGACTTTTGAGATGGATCCAACACCGCGGCTCCCGCTGGCGAATTGATGCAAGGTACGCAACACTCGAACCAATCTAAGCTCTTGCACCATATGCGTGCTGTCACGATCCTTCGTTTTCTGGGGTTAAGCACGAGACCAGAAACAAACCGGGGCTCAGGCTACGATTCTACGGACTTCCAGCGGACTTCTGACCAGTTCCTCCCCCCGACACACTTGTTTTCGCCTCTTCTGGATTTGGAGGGGGCGAAGGAAGGTGCAATCGCTATTCTGAGATGCTTACCTGCTGGGAGGTCGAATGCATGCTGGATGCACTTCGGCTCTACAATTACGACTCCAGAGTCTCGGCAGTTTCAGTGTTAGCCTGAAGCTCCCTACAGTGCAGGCCCCTAAACCATACAGCTGCGCACAGGTGCCGAAGACTGACATGTTTCCCACGTCATCTGCTGCACATAGCCCGCAATTCTGTACCCTGTATCACCTTTTATTTTTATTTGTATATTGTAAAGGGCTCCTACAGGGAACCTATGGACACTTAAGTCCTCAGCCGGTGCGGGATCGGCATTTTTGAATCGGGCCGAAGCCTCAGAACCTAAGCCCCGAACCCAAAACCCTTAAAACCCCAAACTCCCCTAAACCCTAAACCCTGAGTTCCTGCTATGCGGGAGCGAAAAAAACCCTGAGTTCGGGTGCCCAAAAAAAATCTCTAAGCATAGACCCTAAACCCACTCAGGAGTGGATCACCTCGCATCCTGCATCGCCGATGTGAATGGAACTTGGGATGCCAGTTGCTGGGCACATGCTGAGATGCGGTGGTCTCCGGGTTTAGGGTTTAGGTTTTAGGGTTTAAAATAGGTAGGGTTTATACGGGTCTTTGGGGCCCTTATGAAGAAGGATTGCAGGTTTTTCATCTTAGATTTCTTAGATGTCACCTTGGATTAAGGTGATCTTGTTCAGATGCCCTTATGGGAGTTGATGTTCAGAGGTCAGGTAGGGTTTGGGGTTCTAGGCCCGAATCAGATGTTGCACCGCTGACGACCTCAACAGGGATCCCATCCAAGGAGCCACAAGGGGGGGGAGCCCCTATACTATACCCTGGAACCCTGAAACCCTTAAGCCCTGAAACCCTTAAACCCTGAAACCCTTGAACCCTCAAACCCTTGAATCCTTGAACCCTTAAACCCTTGAACCCTTGAACCCTTGAACCCTGAAACCCTAAACCGCGAAAGGCCAATGCAAAGGACCGATACCCAAGGAGGCCCCGAACTTGAAGCCCCAAACCTTCCATGTCCAGGGCACGGGCACGCCATTTTGGGGTTCCTTTTACCATTCCGAGCTCTTTATTTGGGGTAGCCCAAAGAAAGCCCCAATGTATGAAAAATCAACCAACATACTAAGCCACTCAGCCCTCAATTGAATGTGGCTATTGGCCTCAGAGTCGATGCCCTCAAACCGTTGCTCGAACTCTTACGTGTAGTTATTTAGAAAGAAGAGCCTACAGAGCCTCGAGCGCTGCCAAAAACATACTTCTGAGGGTGCGAAACCACCTAAACCTTAAGCCCAAAACTCACTGCAAGAAGAGCCTTGCTCTAGTGTGTCAAGCCGAGGTCTAATGAAGAAGCTGGATTTCGAGGTCGCAGATCTGTGCCTATAAGCCCTAAACCGTATACCTAGAGTCCGAGCGGGGGTCATGCTTCAGGGCAGTTTCATTACATTAGGGCACTTTCTCTTACGGAATCCTCTGCAAACTTGCGGGGGCCACGCCAGTTTTGCAGTTCTCGTGTCCATGCCTCAATCCAAGGCCCTAGTGCTGTTGCTGTCGCAAGTTTTGGGCATCTTTGAATTTCTTCATCTTAGGGGCACCACTCACGAGTCGCCCCCCCAGACTCCCCAGACCCCAAGTCGTTGCATGGGTCCCCTGTGGACACATTCTCTGTGCTCTACTCCCGCAGCCTGCAGGAGTGCGAGTTCCAGAACTCGGAGAAGAAGTCTGCAGATCTAAGTGTCTGCGCAAGCCACACCAACCCCATGAACGACAACGACATGTCGGGAACTCCCGGGTACATCGCGAAGTGGCCCGCATGATAAAGAAGAGAAAGCTGGCCTGACAGTGCTTTTGAACCCCTATGCCCTATGCACCTTGGGTAACGAGTTGGTTGCGATCCCAAGCAGCTCCAGGATCAGATGACAGCCCTCCTCTGGCAGCTGTGGGTCCACTAGGGGTCGATGTGCAGGGCTGGGGCCTTCCGAGGTACTACAGCGGCCCGCCTAGCGCGCCAAACGGCTATCCTATGCCAGGAAGCAAAGATGATGCCTGGCCACGCATTGACATCGCCTGCGTTCGTTGTGTTGGATGTGCTGCCGAGGGTACCTGTCGGTTTGCAACAGGCATTGCTTGCGGGCAAGGGTTCCTATGTTGAAGGTGCAGAGATTTGATCGCCGCTGCAGTTCTGCAGTGCTGAAAGGGGGGGAATTCATGTGGTCGCTGTGGAAAGGGAGTGAATCGGAGCTTGTACGTGTGTGCCAAAGGTTTTTGAGTTTGCATGTGTGGGCCCAAGTCCGACCCAGCTTCCCTGCTTTCGAGAGCGCAGACGACCCCCATCGCCAAGCACACAACCAACATCTGCTTCATCTTTCGTACTAAAGCATCGGAGCTACCTTCCACACAAGGGGCTTTGAATTATTAAAAAAAGCCCTAAACCTTAAACCCCAAACCCTAATCCCTAAAACGCCTGACTTAGGACGACACCGACCCCGACAACGCACCCAAGACCGACGTCAAGGCCGGGATCTTCAGCGGGCAAGCCCCCCCATGGTCAAGGAAAGCTATGACGAAGACATAGGTTCCCTGGGGTTCCTACAATAAGAGGATCATTGCATCTTGGGATCTGCATGGGGTGCCCCTAGGCCCTGAACCCTAAGTCCCAAAGCCTAATGCCAGAGAATGGCTGAACCTCGCAAGGCATGCGTCTCCACCTGCTGTTTCGGCCTCAGCTCAGCGGGTGTTGGAGCCTATTGTAGTATAACTATAAAGGGACTAAATGGAATAATATTAGGTTAGTCTTCCGACCTTTGTCTTAGGGTGTTGGGGTTTGCAAAAGGGGTGCAGGGTGGAGGGCTTTTGGTTTGGAGTTTACAAAGTTTAGGGTTGGGGGGGGGGGGGGGGTTCTTATGCTTCTGCTGTGACAAGAGGCCCGGGCTTTCCTCAACCGGGGTCCTTGTTGGGGGGGGGGGGGGGTCATCTTCGGGTCCGTTGAAGGGGCGGGGGGTGCATGTAAACGGGGGACCCGGACTAGTTTCTGGAAATCCCTGAGCCTAGATGGGTTTTTTTACAGGAGAAAACAAGGTTCTTCGGTTATTTTGGGCCCGTAGATTCGTCTGTGTATGTATGCTTTTGTCTGCTTATCCAAACCCACACGCATACACGCATGTAGGGCCTATTTCAGAATCTAGCTTTCCGAAGCTTTTCGTGACAAGTTTGCTACCATGTTCAAGTTTCACCTTCAGAGCTCAGCTTGCAGCAATAGCCAACGCCTGAAAGGGTTCCAGGGTTCTTGAGTTGTGAAACTTCGCCACGATTTTTCCCTAGAATGCTCGACAGGTCGAATGTGCAATCAAGAGAAGGTGGTGGCATTGTGAAGCTCTTGATTTCCCAAAACCCCAAACCCTGGCATTGTGAAGCTCTTGATTTCCCCTAAGCGAAGCATAAGCCGGTCGCAGAAAAATGATCTGGGCGACTCGCCCATTGGCTAACTCAGAGCCCATCCTTGTTGACTTGCAGTGCAGAAAGTAACACACCCCAAACCCTAAACCCTAAACCTTAAACCCTTTTATCAGGGGGTAGCAGGTGGGGGGCGGGGTTAATGGTAGGGGGAAGGGATTGCGCCCCCAGAGCCTGGGGCGTCCAAGGCAAGCATCCCCCGGCGGATGGCTGGGAGAAGGCGGTGCGGTGGATTTAGGGGGACGAAGGGTTTAGGGTTTAGGGTTTAGGGCTACTTGGCGGATTGAAGGATTGCGTCGAAAGGCCGAAAGGTCCAGGTGCATGTCGTACTGTTGGGCTGTCTTCTGGTCGGTCTCCCCCGCTCCCCACGAACATTAGTTGGGATTCAAGCTTTTTCCCCCATACACCCATGAACTCATAAACCCATAAACCCCGAAAGCCATGGAACCTAACCCCATGAACCGACCGGAGTCGCCTGATGAGCCACCGAAGCCGTTCACCGGACGGTTCTTCCTTCAAGTGTGACTTCAAATACGCGCGGCAACGGTTTAGCGTTAAGAGTCCTGTCGGCTTCAGCTTGGACCCGGCAGGTCGAGGATAAGACGGTTGCCCTGGCCAAGGCCACCACACCGGCACCTCCGCTTGCTCTTGACACTTTGTTCAGGGTTGAGAGGTTAGAGCTCCGATTTCTTTTGAGCCAGGGCTTCGGAGGCTTAGGGCCTAGGGTTTAGATTTTCGTGCGTTGCTGGCAGCAAGTCCAGTTTCAGCAGTGCTGTGCGGGATGAAGTAGATCTGGGTCTTGTGGGAGTTCGTAGACTTGGTTGCTAGGGCGGTGCTGGGGTTTGGGGTTGTTTAGGCAGAACGTCGAACAACGTTTGAAGGGGGATCGGGGTAAGGGGCCTGTGGATTCCGACTCTCTCTTTGAAGACTCAATCCCGAATCTTCCGTTTGGCGGGACCTTATGGGCTCACACACATACACAACGCACGCGCTAGCGTTCAGTGTCTTTTCTCCGCCTGAGCCCGAAGTTAACAACCGTCAACTAATCAGTTTGTGTTGAGCCTAATCCCGATGTAATCTCAAGAAGTTCTTTCTTCTTTGTTCCGCTTGGAAACTGAGCCAAGAAGCTCTTGACTAGCGTTTGAGTGCTGTTTTGGCCCATCCAATAGACCCTAAACCTCGGGCAACTTACAAATAGCCCCTAAATTACTAAACCCTAAACCCGAAACCCTAAATAACTAAAACCTAAGCCCGGGTGGCATAGAAAACACCCTGCACCCTCAGGCAACCGTGAGGCTTCCCAGCTGCTCAGATGCATTCCATGCCATTACTTGGAGGTTCACAGGTACTTCTAAGTAGGGTTCGGGTTCAAGGTTTAGGTTCAGGGTTTAGGGTTTAGGGTCAGGGCTTAGTACCCTGAATAGCTATAGTTACCATACTTGTAATCCTACAGCGCCTATAAAATACCCAAGTGAACCTGAGGGTTTAGGGTTTGGGGTCCAAGCCGCCAGTAACGGCAGCCCATGATTCGGTAACATCCTCAAGCCCTGTAATGAAGCCACAAGCCCTAAACCTTGTTGGGGGTAGGACTTTGCGCGGCCCCCCCCCCCCCCCCCTCCCCCCACCTCCCCCCCCCCCCCTCCCCCCCCTCCCCTCCGCCCCTCCCCCCCCTCCCCCCCCCTCCCACCCCTCCCCCCCCCCTCCCCCCCCTCCCCCCCTCCCCCCCTCCCCCCCCCCCCCCTCCCCCCCCCCCCCCCCCTCCCCCCCCCCTCCCCCCCCCTCCCCCCCCTCCCCCCCCCTCCCCCCCCCTCCCCCCCCTCCCCCCCCTCCCCCCCCTCCCCCCCCCCCCCCCCCCCCTCCCCCCCCTCCCCCCCTCCCCCCCCCCCTCCCCCCCCCTCTTACCCCCCCCCTCCCCCCCCCCTCCCCCCCCCTCCCCCCACCCCTCCCCCCCTCCCCCCCCTCCCCCTCCCCCCCCCTCCCCCCCTCCTCCAGCTTGAAAGTTGGCTTCAGAAGCCGATGAGGTGGCACCTTCGCCATTGCCCAGTTGCCAGAGAGTTTGCGGTCGTGCGTCGGCTTGAACATTTGTGACCCCGGAATTGCAATTGCACTTGAGGCATACACTTTTGGCCTTTAGTGAAATCAGAGGTGGGGTCTGTCATGAAGCGCCAAGAAGCTACGAACTTGGAATTCTTGGGCTGCGGAACATTGCTTCGGACCTCCGGAAACCGGTGTTCGAGTTCATCCTACCTATAGGTACCATACCTAAATCCTGAACCCGAAACCCTCAACCCAAAATAATGTTGGGGATGGCTGAAAGGCGTGATTACCTCTCGTTGTTGTAAGGGCCGAGGTCTAACGCTTAGAAAACCCTCTAGATCTCTTGAACTTGGTTTAGGCTTCTTGGGTAGTTTAGGGGTCGAGCCGAACCCCAAACCCTCAAAGTCATGAAGTGCATAGCGGCTTTAACGCCGGGCTGGTATCTATGAAGCCAGGAAGCCATGCTTATGCCTTGTGATCTAAGTGAAGCCTAAATCCCCAAACCCCTAATACCTAAAACCCTACACCTTAGGTGGTTCAGGGGTTCATTGGTCGCCTGGTTTATTGTTGACGCCCTGTCTCAAGCAGCCAGCCAAATCCAGTTAGGTTTTAGGGTGGAGGGCTTCGGGGGGGCATGAGGCAAGTGGATCCGGACAACTTGCCCCCGTGCGGCTTCTGTGGCACCGAGACCATCAAGGGACCGCGTCCACTTAGGCTTTTTGACTCATGTTCCATGCATCACACAGCCTCAAACCGAATACCATAATTACAACAGACAACCTTAAGCACGATCACTAGAAACGCGAAGTGTAAAGCCACATAAGCCCTAGAACATTTATTCCTGAAATGATCCCAAATGCAGGAATTGTGATGCAACTCCTGGCTGTCCAAAATTAAAATGCCAAACGACATGTTGATATAGAGTATAGGGTTTCCTCGAATAGAGGTTCGCAGAAACCTGCATTTCTGTAATTCGAAGGAACGACCATTCCAATCTTGAAAGGGTGAAAACTGCTTACAGAAGCTGGCAGGCAAGAAAACGCAAGAACATGCTGGGATGATCTTCTTTAACGTCAGTAGTGTCGGATAATCTGATATCAGACTCGGAAGTGCTAAGACATGAGGTTATGCCAGAGGTAATAGTCCAACTGTAAGACTGACTGCGTATGCTTGAAGGTGAACAAGGTCGTAACAGAAGCGGGCGTTTGGTGGAACATTTCATCATGCACCACGCCCCAACTGCAGGCCTAAAGAAACAACAAAGCTAAGCAAAAGTATCGGTTCTGGGCTTTACCACTTCTGGAGACCCGGAAAATCCGAGAAAGATGGGTACAGCATGGTTTCCACAGCCTTCCAACAAGCCAGGCATGACAAAAATGGATCTTTTCAACGCCATGCAACGCATTTCTTACATTGTGGCAGTTCGGGTTCTTTGGAGACACAGGGTTTAGGGTTCAGGGTAAAAGGGTTTAGTACTCTGAAACTCTGAAGAACTCGCCTCCCAAACCCTCGTAATTACGACCCTGAATCCCCAAAGTCGCTACCCGCTATCAGTTGGCGACCTCCGGAAAATGCCATGAAACAACCCTGAACCCCTTTCAGGGTTTAGGTTTAGAGTTCGGGGTGAACTCGCCTTGACGTGAGCACTACATGGGGCCGGGCGGCAAAAGTGTGTTGAAAATCGGGGTTAGGTTTCAAAAAGTTGTGTGGCTTAATTCGTCAACCCTAAGCCCTACCCCTCACCGCCTTGCCAAAAAAAGCTGTTCAAGAACTTCCCAAAAGCGCTTGGCCCTTCAGAATATGAAAATCAGATAACTGGCGCTATTTCATTCCGAGGTTGGGGGTGTTGTGGGGTGAGTGTTGCAACGCCCGCAGTGGGCAGGAGCAGATAAGCTGATCAAGTGCTTCAGCTGTTGGGGCAAATGCTTCTCCTGGCAGCAAGATGACGAGCTCCAAAGCCTCAACGGGGTAGCCCCTACGCCTTGCAGCCCCTAGATAGTTTACATGATACGAACTGCCCAAGAACAGTTTCAGCGCATCAGGGTTTGTGTCAGGGCCTGTTGGGGACTAGCTGTAAACTCGTTGGGAGGCAAGGCGTACTCACGCAGGTCACTGAACCCAAAGTCCTTGCCTCAATTTGAGGCTTGCCGCATGCTTGGGTGTGGGGCATGTGGTTTAGGGTTTGGGGGCTCCCTCAAGCCGGGGGCGGGACTTCAAAGCCCGTTGCAAAGGGTGCCCTAAGCCGTAAACCCTGTAAAACCCGCAGTTAAACCCCGCACCCTGGACATCCAGTGAGGCTGCGATCCGGCCGGCGTGACAGCCGCCACGTCTGCCTTGAGGGTTTGGGGGTTTATTAGGGTGCTTCCAGGTTATTGCAGGCGAGGACGCCGCAAGACTGCTGCAAAAGGGTTTGGAGCCTTCCCAGGGCTTTCGGAAGCGAAGCCAAGACATGTCATAAGATCGGGTCAAGGAGGGATCCGTGCTAAAATGGGGCGGGGGGGGGCTTTCAGAATGGTACCCTTTTTCGGGGGGGGGGGGGGGGGGATTTCCTACAATTAGGGGGTTCTGGTAGCTTGGGGGAGGGGTTATATTAGGGGGGTTTTTGGGATCCCATCTTTCGAGCCACTCATGGCGTTGCCGACCTGCAGCGGCTTTTTCAAACCTCAAGCCCTTCATTTCTGCTTGCGGTTCGAACTTCCTGCTAGCCAAGGCCTGTGCTGACAAGAACAAGGGGCAAGATCCGACACTCGGAGTGTTCAGGTTCATGGGTTTTGGGTTTGGTGTCTTTTTGGGGTTGGGCCCTGACTTCTGACCCTTCGTCCGAAACCCACCCCGAAGTCTGACATGGAGCATCTGGGGGGTTGAGTTCTTGCGCACGAAGCGAACCGTGTCGGTCATCTCGGGCACGAGGTGTCTTGATTGGATTTAGTGATTTAGGGCTCAGGGAGCATGTCTTTGAGAAAGAATTGTTGGGGCGGGGGGCGTTTTGTCCATTGCTGTTTGGTTCAGGATGGGTTGGAGTGAAGTTCTCATGCGCTTTTGTTTTTTTCTGGCAGGCCTTTAAAATACGAACACGCTTCTACTTTGGAAGTATGTCGGCATGTGCGCTGCAATGTGGCCTGGGTGTCAACCAAAACTAAAACCCTAACCTACGCCCTAATTTCCTGTAGACCCTAAAACCCTGAACCCTATAAACCCTGTAAACCCTAAAGCCTAAACGCTATAAAACGTCAAGTTTTTTTTTGAACCTTTGTTGCCACATTGCCACACCCGTGTGAAGCTTAAGGTCGTTCTTGTACCCCCCCCCCCCCTCCCTCCCTCCCCCCTCGGCGCCTTGACTTGTATCGACGAATCGGCTCCAAGGTTTGCAGGTTTAGGGCTTAGGGTTTGGGGTTTGGGGTTTCAGGGTTTAGGGCTTAGGGTATCAAGGGTTGAGGGCTTAGTCTAGGGCCCGCCGGTCTTAGACCCCTGAAGCACCTTAGCGCTAAGCCCTATACCCTAAACCCTACACCCTAAACCCTAAACCCTAAACCCAAGGACTTGCAAGGACGAGACCAGCATGTCGCTGCTCTCATTGTCGCAGCCTCAATGACTCGCAGGTGCATGGGGAGAGCAAAGATCACGACGCTATTCTCCCGCCTTCCCCTCCAAGCCCAAACTGTCGGCTTGGGCTTCGTGACCCCTTAACATAGCGGCGCTGCAGGAAACCTGTGAGGGTTTAGGGTTTTCGGGTTAAGGCAGCAAGGGTTTAGGGTCTTAGGGTTTCGGGTTTGAAGGGTTCAGGGTTTGGGGCTTGGGTGTTGAGGGCTTTGCAGTGTGCTTACCTGGCATTCGAAACGAGGCCTGGCTGTAAACTATATACCCCTTGGGAATTATTTTTTGTTTATGTAAAACCCCAGAGGATATGAAACATAGTATTTTTATTACGGTTCTAAGGGGAGTATAGTAAAAAGGGCTTTAGGGTTCCGAGCTTGGCAGTCGCAGCGACTTGGCCCGCCTAAGGTCTTCCGGACTTGCATCAGGCCAGGGGTGTGGGTGCAAGGAGGGGGGGCGGGTTTACCCTGCAATCCCTAAAGACCCTAAAAGACCCATGCCCTAAACCCCTATAGGCCCTATAGGTCTTGTTTTTACCCCCGGCACAAAGCGCCGAAAGAATCAGAATGCATGAAGCCAAGCTCGACCCTAATTCGCGTAAAGCACGCAAAGCCCCCCAAAAGGCCTAAACCCTAAAAACCCTACACCCTAAACCCCTAAACCCCTAAACCCTTTCTCATTCCCGCTGAACCGTGGGACTGCCATCTAGTATGGTGTGGGCTCAGGGGGTCCAAACTCTCAACCTCGGGATGTTCCCGCTGATGCTAATTACCAACAGTCCTTAATAGGGCTGATCATAGGGGGTACTAGAATCCCTATTTAAGGACTGTTAGTATGAAGGGGGAACATCAAGCCTCAACCCCTAAATCACCCGAAGTCGGCGGCGACAGGACATGGCCCAAAAAAGCGTCCCCGGAACCACCTCGTAAGTGCAACCGGAGCCGAGGGGAGATTTTTGCATGTCGCGACATAGCGGTCACCCCAAGATGGGAAAAATGTCCTTCGTTATTTTCAGAATCCCCAACAAGGAACACTTACTTTCGGATGTCGGGGTTGGCTGGCTTCGAGCTTTCTCGAACGACCACCTACGAGTAGCTCCGCCCTGGCCTGCAGGTGCGGTGACCTCGCAGCATGCCAAGGCTCGAATCGGCCCTGAAGAGGAATCTCATGCCAAGCCCGCAGGGGGGGCGGAGAGAAACAGGACGGTTGAGAGTTGAGGGTTTATACATGAGCAGTGAAGGAGTGTCTTTGCCCCAGTGGACAGAGACTAACTTTGGGAGCCCTGAGCCCCTGAATTCCCAGAACTCAAAGGCTTACGTTTGGGTTTTTTGGGTTCAGGGTATTGGTAGGGGGGACCTGCTGTAAAAAAGGTTTCGTGTATTAGAGCATGAGAACCTTGGACCTACTCCGATGCACGATGCCGTGACGCATGTGCTAACATAGTCAGCAGAACTACGTGCACGTGTGCTTCGGTCTACTTCACTAGGTGTGCTTGTCTGCGATGGGTTTACAATGAACCTGGGCAGCATGAGCTCTTTCCCGGCACGCTCACCCAAGCCTGGATTCAAAAAGAGCATGAGAACCTTAGGGAGAAGGCACGTGAAGTATCACAAAGTCCTAGTGGTGCAGTCTCACGATCTCTCGCTGTTTACTTATCTCCGTCTTTCTCCCTGTCACAAGTTTAGTTGGGGGCTTTGGGGTCTAGGGCAGCCTATGCTCAAAAGTTACTGGCCATTCAAGGGACTGGAACACACGTGTAGGGGTACGTCATAGGCATTCGCTCCGCCCAAGCCTGCTCATGGCTTTGGGCAGCCGTTTTGCAGGCCTTCTCTGCCAGCATCACAGCAACCAGACGTAGCGAGGAGCCCATCAGCCGGAGACCCAGGAGCGTTGTTCCCCGAAACCCTAAACCCTTGTCATGGCTAGTTGCTGCGTTTAGGGTTAGGGGGGGGGGGGGGTTGATCAAGGGAGATGGGGGTTACTGGTCTGAGAACGACCGACCCTAAACCCTAAACCGCAGCTCTTGGGTCTTGGTTACATGTTGACGTTGTGTTAGCGTGAGGGGTGTTTGGGACTGGTCCCCACGTGATTAGCTTGCCCTGATGGGTATCATTCTATGTTGGGGTGGATCAGGTGACTCGCTGAGCGCTCATCATGAAAATTCAGTTTCTCCAGTGACTTTGGAACCCTAAGCCCGAAACCCTAAACCCTAAACCCTACACCTACACCGTAAAACCTAAACCCTAAACCCTGACCCTTCTAGCACCTGTCGAGCGTTTCTGTTGGCGTGGACTGAAGCCTGTTCCGATACACTTGCGCAGGGTTTGGGGTTTAAGGTTTTAGAGTTCAGGGTTTCGGGAGCCAAGAGGGGGAATGGAACCTCCCTGCACTGTTTAAGGATTCTAAAGGTGGGCCCTTCGGGCCTGTCCTGTGGACAAAGGCTTGTGGAGATTTGGAGGGTTAGGGGATTGTGGGGTTTGGAGTTTTAGGGTTTAGGGGTTCTAGGGATCATAGGGTTTAGCGGTTAGGGTTGAAGGGTTTAGAGTTCTCTTCGGGTGTTGGGTTTGGTACGTCGGGGGGCGGGGGGTTAGGCGCGGAGGTCTTACGGCCAAAGAATTCAGTTCTCATGAGGTGCGGGATGCTTGGGTTATCGGAGCAAGTAGTAACCCTGAATCCTAAACCCTAAACCCTGGCGTCTTGGGGCGAAGAGTGCTGTAGCAGTGAAGTTGCCGTTGAAGAAAGCATAGACAGCCAAGTTTGAACCGATACAGATACGCTGAGTTGCCTTTTCTAGCCCAGCCTCGGTTGCTCAGTAGGGTTCAGGGTTTAGAGTTTAGGGTTTAGGGTAGCTGTAGCTGACGACAGCAGTGGGAGGTATGATCCTAGCTCTGTCGCACTGCCACACCTAAGCTCCCTAACTTCCATCTTCTTGCTGGTCCCTGTGCCCAGGCCATTCCAAGAAGTGGCAGAAGTCTCGCGACTCAAGTTGGTTTCAAGCAGAGCGCGACTTCAAACTCCTGCTCCCTTTCCCCAACCCCCCCCCCCCACCCGCTTGCGGTACACCTTTGAGGATTCCGGGGCTCACCGCTTGCATAGCTAGCTCGGGCGCGATATTGAGGTGGGGCCTTGGGGGGGGGGGTACTTTCATTGCATTACGTCCTGCAGATTCCGTCGCCTGGTTGCCTGGTTCGTCTTAATTTTGAGCGGTTGAACCCTTAATTAGCTGCACCTAGCTTTCGCTGAATGCTCTGAAAGGTTCTCCTCTCGACGACGACCTCCAAGCGGGATTTACACATGGGGGATTGTTCTGATTGTAGCCACCTTTTATGAACAGGACCACTGACCCTAATAACTACCTGAAAAAGGCACTATAAACCCTATGAGCTTCACATGAGCCCTATACAGAAAATCTCCAAATCCATGAAACATCATGAAATCCCACGAAAAGCCCCACTTAAGCACCTGATTCCTAGAAACCCCCACCGAAGGCTCCTCGCCCGCGCCCGGCACCAGATCGCTGCCCGCCTTCGGCGCGTCTAGGCACAGGGGGCGGCCTTGCCGGCTCTGGCTTCCGAAATCTGGCTATAGCTACACTTACCATGCTCATAACATCTTATAACCCCTAAACCCTAAACCCTAAACCCTAAACCCTAAACCCTAAACCCTACTTAGTGGATAACCATGAACCTCCAAAATAGGGGTTTCGGGCTGTCGGGTTTATCCGGCTCTCTGGCGCTCGGGAGCTCAAGCTGATCCGAGGTTGTGGCCATCCCTCCCTCTCCTCTGCGATAACGAAGAGGGTTTAGGGTTTAGGGTTTAGGGTTTAGGGTTTAGGGTTTAGGGTTTAGGGTACCCTTAACTAAGGAGGCTTGACCATGGTAGCCTAAACCCTAAATCCTAAAACCCTTCCTTAACGTAGCCTAAACTTGTCCATGCATGGTAGCCCACACTAGACCACGGTAGGGTTTAGGGTTTAGGGTTTAGGGTTTGGGGTTTGGGGTTTGGGGTTTGGGGTTTAGAGCCTCAACCCCATGCGTAGCGCTATTGGTTTGCAGGCAGGCCTTCCTCCCGCCAAACAGCGACCTCTGCCACTGCAGCGGCGCGAAAGACATCAAAAAGCGACAGTTTAGGGTTTCGAGGGTTTATATAGGTTTTACAGGGTTTATAGGGTTGTTAGGGTTGATAAAGCTTATAGGGTTAGTAGGGGTTTTGGCTGCCTGAAAGCAGCCACCACAACCTTGGCCGGAGAGTTTTTCAACCCGCAGACGACCTGCTGAGCCCGACACCTTGAATGAAAGCAGTAGGCCCATGCGCGCCAAGTCATACGAATACCTTGCAACGGATCACTGAGTCACTTTGCAGGATACGCAATGCCCTGAAGCTTGCTCCCTTCGAGACCCGCTGAAACTTCCGTATCAGGCCTCACCTGCAACTTAGATTTGGGCAATTCAGGGCATTCGGGGTTCAAGTTCTGGGATGTTCTGGGTTCAGGGCCCCTGCTCCTCTACAAGACACCCATGTCTTGCAGCCACCATGCTGATTCACGCGGCCAGCACAGCTCAAACTGCCGTGACGTACCTCCATTGACATTCCGCCGCCGATTCATGGCCAGGGAACTTGGCCCCAGAGCTCGGGAACGCGCTCTGGCTGTTGCTGCCGATGTGGCACGCCGAATTCAGGCGGCTTCCGCTGCACAGGATAGTCCGGCGTATAGTCTTCAAGCATTAGAGCGTTAGGGGTTGGCACTGTGGCACTTTCAACTGGAGGTGGAACTCACACAGAGTGCAGAGTCAGTGGAACTGCCACCTATGCGCGGCAAGAGCGTGCAGAATCTACGCAAGCAGCATCTTGGCCTTTGCAGATCCTGGCCCATACAGCCCACCCTTCTGTAAACAGCGGTAGGTGGAAGGCACAAAGAGATCCCTGGAGTGACCCCAATTGCGCCGTAGCCTTCAAGGGGTTGGTGGGTTTAGGGTTTATTGGGTGCATGGGAGTCTGGCTTGCCTTCAGTCCAGTGGCAAAGAGGGTTTAAATCTATGTTCTGTGTCCTTGCTTTCGGAGAACAGGTGCGACATTTCCAGACGGATAGACAACAGCCGGTTGACAAGGGTTGAAATGACAGGGTTATAGGGTTTAGGGTTTAGGATTATAATGGGGTTTAGGGTTTAGGGTTGGGCTGGAGAGGAGACTGGGTTGAAAAAGGGTTGGCAGGAGTTTGTTTTCGATCAGCGACCACCCTAAACCCTAAACCCTAAACCCTAAACCCTAAACCCTAAACCCCCGAGTGCATGCTGGCCCAGGTACGGAATCGGCTCGCAGACCGCAGACGTGGCACTCCAGGCCTCCTGCGCGCGGCTCTCCATGGCAGGCGTCACCTTGAGCCTCGGGCGCATCTTCAGCAGGGTTTAGGGTTTAGGGTTTAGGGTTTAGGGTTCAGGGTTTAGGGTTTAGGGTGCGGAGCTGCAGTTGGTATTGTAGAAAAGAGTTGGTGTTGAAAGTTGAAGGGTCAATGTACCTGGTAATCTTCATGGCTCAAGACCGGGCCATGCGCCTGGTAGCAAAAAAGAGTTTCGAGTTCCTGGTGTTTGCTGGTTGGTTCAGGGTGAAATCTCTGGCGACTGTTAGGGTTGGTTTCCTTCCCCTTTCGGTTGCCCCCCGTAGGTTATGAGCCCAAATTAGGTTCCCTGCGGTTTGTGTTTCGGCTTTAGGGTGGCAGTTTGAAGCAATGGCTACCAACTGGTTACAGACTGGTGCGGCATCATCGAGCTCCAATGTGGGTGATCAAGGTGAAGGTGGTGTCAAAAGGTCTGCAACGGGTGAAAAAGTGGTTCCCAATGTGGAAGCTCTGGTTGATGCTGGTGGTATGCGTGGCGAAGAGAAGCCGGTGGTGGAAGGACTGGAAGACCAGATGGAAGCAGTTTTGCTGCGCCTTCTGAGCAAACATGGGCTTTGTCTTCGAGCTGCGGAACCTGCTGAATCAACGGGAGCGCCAAAAACAAGCTCCTCTACGTCAAAGATGGTGGAGCAAGAGTGCCAGACAGAGCTGGTTGGGGATGTTATCCCTGTTTCCAAGCGAGCTCGCAACAAAGTGAGCTTCGCGGCTGAAAGTGGTGATCTGTTGACAGGTGAAGCGGAAGAAACTGCGCCTGTTGCTGCGACAAAAAGCAGTATCCTCTTCGCTGGGGACGCAGAAGGAGTTGTTCCTGTTGCTATGGTGATGAGTGAAGGAGAAATCCTGGAATTGGAGGCAGCGAGAATACAGCAGGAGTCAGAGGAAGACTTATACGCTGCTGGTGGAGGCAAATTGTCTCAAGCTGCTGACCTTCCAATCATCGACTGTGATGGGAAGACGTGGGAACGCCATTTTCACGAGGATGGAAGAGAATATCTTTACTGCCTAGACACTGGAGATACCCAATGGGTGTTGCCTCAGAAGACTGGAATGGCTGGAAACAGTGGAGTGTCCGGTGTTGGAATGGGCATTGTCCCTGTGGAAGAAGAGCCAGCACTGGGTACTACCTCGTCCTCGTCGCCTACTGAGTCTTTCAGGGCACAACAGGGTAGTTTGGAAAGTGTCAACAGCGGTGTAAATAGTGTAGGTGAAAAGGGTTTTTCCTCTACTATCAGGGATAGCGGTCTTAGGGCTGGTGGTGACGCCCAGACCTCGGGTTCTCCTGATGAGGAAGGAGTTTCTGGAATCCGAGCAGACATCGCTGGAGAACATCTGGATCGGGAAGAAATGGAAGCGCTTTCTGAGGGTGTGGCAGCGGTGGAATCGGTGGGCCCAGAGGAAAAAATGCCCAATGCGGAGATTGGAACTGTGTCGGCTGCAGAAGAGCGAGTGGTGGATGTGGTACCTGTCGTTCAGGAAGGTGGTCCTGAAGATTTGGAGGACGGAGGGAAAAAGTTGTGCGTTACGACTGAGGAGGTCTCTTCGTTTGGTGCCAAGAATCTTGCCATTCAAGGGAAAAAAGAAGCTTCTGGAATAGCTGGAGACACGGTTGATCTGAAAGATGAGGCCTGGAGCGCCAATGATGCGCGGGTCAATGTGCCAGATAGTACCTGGAGTGCGGAGGAAGCACGGGTTGAGGCGCATATGGTGTCACGTTCCGCGGACGACTGCAACAATGGGGCGCAGGTCTCCGTAGCAGCTGACGACGGAGGTTCACAGGTGGACGCACTGGTGCAACCTGAAGTTAGCAGCGAGGAACGAAATGGCAAAGGCTACACCGGAGCCAATGAGGCAGCTGTGGTCAATGATGGTGGCGATTCTCTTTTGGAAACCATGGAGCCAAAGGAGCCTGCGGTGGAAGAAAATGTCCCTGCCGCGGATGAGCAATCCAATAGCCCTGCAGTGGAAGAAAATTTGCCTGCTGCAGAAGGTGTGACAAAAGACTCCAATGATGGGTCCACTCCCACGAAGGGGGAAGTATTGCCGTCTGGAAGCTCGCCGGAAGTCGACACCGGGCGAACTATAACAGATGAGGCAAAGCCATTGGCTGGAAAAAAGGAAGGTCCTGAGCCCCTGGAGCACAAGGTGGATGATCTTGTGGGACTCGTGCAGGAGCAGGACAAGCAGCTTGACCCAAAGGTGGAAACAGAGGATGTTCCAGGAGCCGATGATACAGAGATGGTTTCTGAAGAGCATGCAAAGAAAGGGCCCAATGGGGGAGCCTTGGTGACACCTGGGGAGCATTGTTATCAAGCCGGAGATTGGATCACTGCTCTGGTGCGTTGCATCAATGGGCATGGAGCCTTTTTGGAGCACGGTGATCTGAATGTGCTGATTCCTGATGAAGGGAAAAATACACCCTCTTTCAAAATTGGTGACACTGTCTGCACGACAGTGAGGAGGGTGGATGATGATGGCACTGTGATTTTAGATTCCTGCCTAGTTTTTGAAGAGGACGATGAGGACTCTTCTCCAGCGCAGCGCAAATGGAAGGTCGGCGGCTGGGATGCGTGGTGGGGAAATTCATGGTGTGATGGTCAATGGTACCAAGATTCCAACGGTCAATGGGACTGGAAATGGGAGGAAGAGCAATCCGATGAATGGTTTGCTGATCAGGAGTTATCCTCAGAAGAACAAGAGGAAAGGCAACTCTATGGAGAAAAGATCTATAGAGCTCTTCTGGAGGATGGAAAGGCTGATAAAGCCTATGTGGGCAAAATCACTGGGATGCTGTTGGGTCGTACAATGGATGAGATACTGGAGTGTGTTGCAGACCATGCATTCCTGGATGCGGAAGCTCGGCGTGCATATGGCATCTTGCAAAGTGATGGTTGGAAGCCCGATGGTACAGAAGGTGCAGGCTTGGGAAAGACAACCACCTTTTCCCGAAAGCAGTACCACAACGCGCTCTACGAACTAGCATGTAAGAAAAGGAGATTTAGTCGACCAGTTGTGGGTGAAGCGGTGGCAACGTTGCTGAGTCAAGGCAAAGATGAGCTTTGGAATGCGCTTTGGCTGGATACCAAGCGGTTTTTGCAGGAGCTTGATGGTGCAGTTGAATCCATGAGTAAGAGAGAAAACAAGCCAATGGAAGCCTACATGGATCCCGATCAGTATAAGAAAGCTCACCTGACGCCAAAAACTGTGTCGCCAGGGTACAGTAAACTGTGCAAGTTTTTCAATCAGGGAAGGTGTCGCAATGGAGATGAGTGTTCCTATGAACATCGTCGTTATGGTGAAGGTTGGCCAGGAGGAGGACCAACTGAGCCAAAGAACAGCCAAAAAGCTGGAGACGAGGATGGGGACATTGGTGACCCTCCTACGGAAGAAGGCACAGTGGACGAGGCACAGCAGGAGCGGGAGGATTTAGCTTTCAGAGTCAAGTACAACTTTGGTAAAGGTGCATCAAAGGGTGAACCGGTGTCAGTCGAGCCAAAGAGGCAAATGTGTCTGTATTACAGCCAAGGAGGTTGTAAATATGGAAATTCTTGCAGATATTCGCACGATGAAAAAGCGGTTTTGGAAGGGACTTGGGAACCCGGCAGATCCTGGGACAATGCGTCTCGGAGGGCCCTAAGGGAAGCAGGGTTCCATCATTGCTGCTTCGACTACTACCTCAAAGGGAGATGTCGCGTGCAATATGGTTGCAAGTATTCCCACGAAGAAATGTCTGAAGAGCGACTGGCCCAACTGAAGCATCTGGTGAATGTGGCGAACCATGTTTCGTTTCAAAGAGGAAGAGGATTGGAGATTTCCGACAGGAACACCTTTCAACCACCGGTAAGTGGGGGAGCGGAATCTTCATCATCTTCGGCACCACAGGCGTTGCAAATGACCAATGTGTCAAAGAAAACAGGTGAGGGTGATACACTGGATGGAGCAGATGGAGATGTACAAAAGGATTCGGTGGCAGAGTCTACCACAGTACGTCTTCAGAATCCTGAAGAGCCAATAGAACATTGGATGGCTCGCAACAACCACTTGTGGGTGTATACACCTCACGTAAGTGATGTTATGATCAAGCTTGGTGTAACCAATGTCAGAGAGCTACAAGAGTATATCTTTGTGGAGGATTTGGTGGAAAAAGGAGTTAACAAGGTGACGGCCTGCAAAATTCTGCAATTGGTGGGTGGTGTTCAGTACCGGCCAATGTCGCCGGATGTGGCTGTTTCTACCAACGCATCGGTACGCATGGAGCACTCTTCTGGAAGCCGTGAAGCTGGAAGAGGTGGAGTGAGAACTATCTCTCAGGTGCGTGAAGCTGAAGGTCCTGGTACAAAGGAGATGCCGCGAGGGTCTTATCGAGAGATTTTCGACACCGGCAAGTACCGTGACGCTTGGACACTTGCGCAGAGATCCCCGCTGTGCGTGCAGAGGTTGCGATTGGTGGGAGTTGGAATGCCACCGGTGAACCCGCCAACAAAGGCGTATCGGTCAAGATCAAACCCTGTGAAAAGGGGAAGGCCCTTGCTGGATAAAAAACAGGTGCGACAGGTGCCACGCTCTCGCTCACAACGGCGAGTGCAGCCGACGGAAGTGGTGGAAAAGCCAAAGCCGCTGGAACCAGTAAAGCCCCGTGGTGGTTTGTCGTACCCATTCAGCAGAGCGTGGGCAGATTTGGTGGATGATGATGATCAAACGGGAGCTTTGGTCTCCTATGCAGATTCCTCAGGTGATTCAAGCGAGGAAGAAACCAACAGCGCGCGACACCTGAGGGAAATCTTTTTGCGAGAAAGGGATTCACAAAGAACTGCGACGCGTGGCAATGTTCCACTTGCTGGTTCTTCAAGCTCCAATGATGGGCAGAAAAAATCGGTTCACCTTGGCGAAGGGCGCGACAAAGCGTCGCGGGGGGAGACCCGCCAAGAAGTGACTTCTCAAGTTTTTTCGCTACCACAACCTTCTCGTCGAACTGAGCAGTCTCAAAAAAGAGCAAGGGATGGCTCAGTTATAGTTGGTTCGCTGGCGGTGGGCTCCACGGATGAGGTTTTACCTGGGCAAGGTGTTGCTGGACAGGTGAATGTATCTGAAAGCGCTCAAGTTCTTCCTGGGCAAGAAGTGGCTGGACAGGAGACGGCGCTGGAAGGAGCAGTGCAAATTTCTGGCGAGGAGACTGACCAAAAAGAGGGAGAAGGTGGGAGCAATGAACTCCGTGGTGATGGTGTGAAGATATTGGATGTTTGTCCGGTGAAGAAGGACCATCAGCAATTGCTTACTAAAGGCCTTCTGAAGCGGATTTATTGGAAGGTTGCTGTCGGCAAGTTGCCTGTGGGGCAAAGGGACTGTCAGAAGGGGTCCAATAAAATGGATCGAAATTTGGTTATTAGCATGTCATCCGAAGGTGCAAGCGAACAGGATTTGAACCTGGCACTGGTGGACGATGCTGATCAGTCAATGGATGATGGTACAATGGTGGTTATGGTGTATGACCCACGAACGCTGATTCAGTCGCCAACAACTGATTGGGTTATGCGTCGCGGTTTGACCGATCGTACCATCTGGCCGGCAATAGCGACTGCAGCACAGAGGATATGTGCTGAAATGGTTCAAGTGGATGAATTGAATGCCCAGCTGGGGACTGGGACACTCCTTTTTCAAAGGAGAGATCAAGGACATTATGGTGAAGGACATTATGGTGATTTGCATCATTCGTTCCATGACAATCCGTGCTTGCCAGCGGTGGGAAATTATCCTCTCTCGGTGATGGGTGCATTGCTGTCTCCTGGTCTGGAAGGGGAATTCAGAAATACTGATAAGTTTGGAACTGCTATGGAGGCAATTGCCTACGATTGGAGTCGCAGTCCAGGCATGGAAGTTCACGTTGGACTTATGGCGAGGGTAGCCAAATTGGTTGCTCCGTTCCTTACCCTAGGAGGCCAAGGGTCAGTGGTGAATTCGGAATTTCTCTGGCAGCGCGGGAAGGCCCAATTGATGGAGTTCCTTCAGGCGGCGACATGCGCTGATCAATTGGAGGTTCTCTGGAACAGGATGGACGACGATGCTGACGAGGAAGTGGATCCTTCAGGGATGGTGCTGGAGATTCTTGGAGAGGAAGATGCGGTATGTGAACAAGGGATCAATGAATCCCCTATTCCCATTGAAGATGCTGGAAGTGAGACAATTGGTGACACTGGAAGGGATTGCAAAGCGCCAGAAGTTTCTCCAGAAGAGGAGACATCCAGTGGTTCGTCAAGATTGGCTGGCACAAGGATGTTCTTGTGGTCGGTGTATTCTCGTGTCGCTTCCAACTGGGATTTCTCTACGCAGGACCGCGCTACTGGTAGGATCTTTGACAGCACGAAGGGGTATCCTGGTGAAGGACCGGATAATGGTGACGATTTTTCCTCTAAGAGGAACTTACCCTGGATCTCTGAAGATTACCTCGACGAAGTGATGTCAAAAAAGATGGAAAGGTCTTCAGATATGGATGGGTTGGATGGGTTTGTTCCGGGAAGTGAGGGACAGTCGGAGAAGGTAGAGGCGGAGAATGTTACTGCCTCTAGAATTCTTATGGCTCTTTGGAAAAAGGGATATAGAGCTGGGTATAGGAGGTTGTGTCGTTCGAATGTATCTGGATGCAAGGTTGGAGCAATGAAACATCCAATCAAAAGGGTGCAGAAGATCGGCACTAGAAAGGCCTTCGTGAAAATATTCAATGCTTTTGGATCGTCTCAGCATGGCTCAGGAGTTGGTGGAAAACCAATCATGAAGGTGGTGTAGGACCGAGGCCAGGTTTTCCAGCTGTACTCAAAGCATCAAATACTGATAGCACCTTGGGTGAAGGGAGCAGTTCTCAGGTACATGGCAATGTTCATGTAGAGCAGAATCGCCCTATGGACCGGTACGAGGCGGAGCGTTTGGAGAAGAGGAAGAAAGGCTTCTGCTATTGGTTCAGCAGGGGAAAAGATCGCTGCAAATTTGGTGAACATTGCAAATTCATCCATTCAGAAGATGATGTGGTGCTACAATCGTATTGGTGCAAGTACTATGTGGCTGGGAGACACTGCTTCTCTGGAAAGGACTGTAAGTTCTCACACAATGCAACTGGTGTAAGGTGTATCCAGTTTGCTCAGTCTGGGAAGTGCCGTTATGGGGACAAGTGTGTCTTTGAGCATGGTGATCCGCTGGATGAACAGAGGCCAAGGTCTCCAAGGACGCCCCCAAGGGATGGTCCAAGGAGAAGTTCTGGCACAAAAGGTGGAGGAAAGGAGATCTCTCCTGAATGGTTTGATGAAGACGAGGAGGATTGGTTTATGACGATGATACCAAAATGGTAGAACTGCTGATGGAGGCGATTTCATTTATGTCCAATGGCAAGTCAGATTTGGCTCGTGCAGAGGCGGACCCAGTGTTCAAACTCCTGAAGTTCAATGGAGACGCTGAACAGATGGATACAGAATGGTGTTCATGGACCACTGGTATGCTGTCCTTGCTGGAACTTCACGAAATAGTGAAGTCATATGAGGTTTCGCTGGCGGACGTGGAAGAATGGGTCAATGACCTGAGGATATGGTTCGAGCGAGCCAACGTTGAAGAAGAGAGAGATCCCAAAAGGGGCAAAAAGAGGTCCCTAGAAAGGGAGTCCAGCAAGGATATTCCTGCCGAAAAGGAGGTGGTTGGAACTTCGGAGACGGATGTTGCCGTTGAGGAAGAGGTGAAAAAGGTCAAAAAGAAGAGGAAAACTGCAGCTAGCGAGGATCCTTATACTCTTATGGTTCCAAAGCCGAAGAAGATGCCGGCGAACATTGAGAAGGGTGGATCATCATCCAATGCGGTGGTTTCTGCAGGGGAAAAAGCCTCTTCGAGAATGCGCACAAAGTCAAGCGTTGTGGGAAAGACGAAGAAGAAAGAGAAAAGTCAAAGCCCCAAGAAGGAAGAGGTGGTAGTGGTGAAAGGTCCTGAGGAAAAGGATCGTTCCTCTGATGTGGATGCGCAAGCGTCTACTACTGTGGATGCAGAGCTGGGTCAATCTTGCCAAGCAATTGAGGACGCGAAGAGAGAAGGATTGGTATCCTCAATTCAAAGGTGCGTGCAGGATCCTGTTCTTACAGTGTCGGACCTGGAGTATGTTCTGCTGCGACTTCACCTAAGCATCGATGCCCACCGGAAGAAGAAGTGACTGGATGGTATTGATGAGGGAATGGTTTTTCTCTTTCTGAAGACAGGTGCGCTGGAACAGCCAATGTGCTGAAAATATGGTGGTTACTATTAAGGGTATGGAAATCCCTGATAGTAGAAGTCAGTAGCTTTTTGCGTAGCGAAGACGACGGTTCGTGGTGAAGAAGACTGAAGAGTCTTCAATGACAAGAGAATCATGGTGAAAAAAGATTCTCTGTGGTAAAAGGTGGTTAGCCAATGAGCTATAAATTCGTCCTGGATGACGTAAAACCATAATGTGCATTCCAAGCAGCTGGCTGCTGCCCTAATGGCGGTTTTTGGCCAAAAGTCTGCACCTCCAATGTGTGTCCTAGGAAATCCTAGGACAGGGGGAGTGCGGAGCTGCAGTTGGTATTGTAGAAAAGAGTTGGTGTTGAAAGTTGAAGGGTCAATGTACCTGGTAATCTTCATGGCTCAAGACCGGGCCATGCGCCTGGTAGCAAAAAAGAGTTTCGAGTTCCTGGTGTTTGCTGGTTGGTTCAGGGTGAAATCTCTGGCGACTGTTAGGGTTGGTTTCCTTCCCCTTTCGGTTGCCCCCCGTATAGGGTTTAGGGTTTACTTAGGATGGTTGAGGGTTCTCACAAAATGGGGGCACCACAGGGTGTGCGTGTGTGGGTGTGCCTGTGGGTGGGGTGGGGTTCTTATAGCCTTGCTGAGGCCTCTGCACATCCCTCCCCAAGCCACAGGAGAACCTTCCGCCACGGAGGGGTTCGTGGAATGGATGCGATAGCAAGATTGGAGGCACTTACGCCACAATTCGAGGCCTTGTGCTGAAGGTCCCCAAAAAGGTACCGCCATAATTATACACAAACTGACTGACCACATGCTGGAATACAGTTATTGCGGCTCAAGAAGAAGCCCCAACAACCTCAAGCCATGGGCGTACACGGTTTACGTTTCAGGGGTGATTAGGGATGCAATCCTGAACACAAGCTGGATCCATCCGAGGACTTGGCAAACGCGCAAGAAGTGCGTTGCGGTAGCAGGCCTGAAAGGGCGGATCCTCGGAACCCTACACCGGGCGCGTAGCTGTTGGCTTGTGAGACGTAGGTGTCTGCACTTCTGGGCTTTGAGTCGAAGTGTAAGGGCCCAGGCCTTTTTTTGGAAGCAAAAGGGAGGTGTGTGAGGGCCTTCCTTGGTTCGAAGTGGATCAGAGCTTCGGCCCATAAAGGCGGCTCCCTCTCAGCGAGCCCAAAGCCTCAACAAGGATGACCCAGGGCGGTAGACCTAACGGATTTTCACAGGAGTAAGGTTACGCTGTTTTTATTCCTAGCTTGCTCCGGGACCTAGTTTTTGAATCAGTCCCTGCCATTCCTTAAGGAGTTTAGGGTTGAGGCGTTAGGATCACAAGCCCAGATGTCTGTCTCCAGTCCAGCTATGCGGGAGCGAAACACACCTAACCCTTCCCCCCCCAAAAAAAAAGAAAACCCTCCTGGCAGCTTCATAAACCTTCAAGCAACCCTAAACAGTCAGGGTTGAGGGTTCAAGGCGATTCACGAACCTTCAAGTAGAGGATGATTCTGGTCTGCAGGGCCGAGTATGCCTGCCGCACATGAGCTGCCGGCCTGGCCGGAAAGGAAGACGCCCCGGCCCGGTTTAGGGTTTAGGGTTTAGGGTTTAGGGTTTAGGGTTTAGGGTTTAGGGTTTAGGGTTTAGGGGAAAGAGTTGTGGGGATCGGAGCGCTACTGTCCCTTGAGAAGCCAAGGCCTGCTTATCTGTAGGCTGGGATGTCAAAACCCCCTTTCTCGAGATTCCTTAGGTAACCTACACAAGTAGATTTTTGGGGTTCTTAAGCTGAGGGTTTTGGTGACTTGGGCTGCCTAAATTCCACCACGCTTTCGAAGGACCCCATGAGCAACTCAAAGTCCACAGTAACGGGTATGTAATAGGCCTCGGGCGTCATGTTGCCGTGCAACAAAGGCTCTTTGCGATAAGCCCCCTGCGCAAGAACCCCCCTCTGAAGCAGGTCGGGTAGCAAGAGCGGCAGTGTGGGGGGGGGGGGGACACATGGCGACACCGCGACTTGGGAGTGCTGTGCGTGTGTTGGAAAATGGGTCTGAACTGGGGACGATGAATTTCGGCAACCTCTGCAGTGTGAAACTTCAAGCAACCGTGCTCCAAAACAGGTTTGGGGCGCACCGGCTTGATCTTACAAGCGCTGTGTGTCTACCAGCATTCCAAGTACAGAAGAGCAAACCCTACACCCTAAGTCCTAAAAACCCTAAACCCTAAACCCTAAACCCTAAACCCTAAACCCTAAACCCTAAACCCTAAACCCTAAGCCGACCCAAAGCCTTGACACCCCAAGGAAGTGCCGGGAGCCGAGAAGTGCGAAGTCATCGGGCGGCCGCCCTCGTGGGGTGGATGACGCTTGCCAAAGGCAGGCACGAAACCTTCCGGGTTTAGGGGGTTCAGGGGGAGCCATAAACACTACCAAGGGTCTGAAAAACCCTAAACCCTGAACCCTAAACCCTAAACCCTAAACCCTAAACTGGTTGTTTTAGGAAGGTGTGGCTGCTGAAGCCTTCAGGATTCAGTCAGAAGTCGTTCGGCATTTTTATTTCTCAAGCCATTGGGTTTCTGGGATTGGGGTTTCAAGGTGGTTTCGCTGCCATGAACCCAGGATGAGATTGACGCAGCGGTCCAGCTGTCGCATGAGATACGAGACGACCTGGACCGGGGCGAGGACGGAGGGATGTCACAGTTTGGGGCTCCAGAGGCTGTAGGACATGCATGCAAGGGCTCAGGGGCCCCAAGTCCTAAACCCCAGAATATGCCTTGTCCTTGCTTCGTGGCTGCCCTTGAAAGGCCTAAAAGGCATCCCAACAGTCTAATTAAGGTGCTTGAAAGACCCTTATCCAGGAACTGCCCACTCCTTTACGTCAAGAAGTTTCATCTGGAGCAAGCCCTCAACCTGCATCCCCCAAAACCCAAGTTTGCGAGCCAAAACCATTTTTTCTCCGGAAGGTGGACAAGGCGCATGGGAGGCTCGCCACCAAGTCGGTGAGACGCCGATCCTTGGTTTAGGGTTTTGGGGTTAGAGGTTCAGGGTTTAATAGGGTTTAGGGCTTCGCAGGAGCGACGAAGGATCCTACAATTTTCAGGGGCTTAGTTGTTGTTTTGCCGTTGGGGGGATGACTCTAATAGGGCGTGTCAGGCGAAGGGCTCCTGGGTTGTTGGGTGATGCAAGGTGTTGCTGTTTGGGGTATAGAGGGTTTGGAGGATTTTGGTTGACCCTGAACTTAGGATGCTCCTTTTACATCAGCTGTCACTCTTAACCAGGGGCTTAGCCTAGATTTCGGGTTCAGTGCAACTATTCTGCTTGCTTGATGCCCTTAAAGGGCGCCAGCCTTGACCGCCTGAAAATGTGGCCCTTGCTCTCTGAGGATTCAACGTTGGCAGCGAGACTGCAGCCAACGTGCCACTCTTCCACGAGTTTGCTTCGGTGTAGGATTGAGCTCTTCGGGTTTGGGGTCCCCCCCCGGCCGCTGAGAATCGGTTTCAGGCTTGGCAGCATATTCTTGAGATTTCGGGTGTACGAGGTCCGAAGGTTCCCTGAGACTGCGAATACCCCCCCCCCCTCTCTTTGGCATTTTATGGAGGTAACCGCGACCCTCCCCTGAGAGCCTGGGTGAAACAAAGGCGGAAGCCGAGGTTGGACGGATTTCTATGACACCCCAAGCAGGAATCCCAGGAAGAAGGAGGATTCCCGAGACCCTTAGAGCACTGCAAGCCGACTTGCAAGCCTCAGGCTACGGTTGGCTCGCGCCCGGTTATCCATGGCTGGCTTGGAGGCCTCCTGCGTGTTGTGGTATCAGATTTTGGGTTCTTTGTTACAGAAGGCTTTTCTAGATCGAAACCGAAAAGTACACATTGGCCTCATACCTGCGAGCATGTGAGAAGTTCAGAGTCGAAGAGCACGTAGGCATCACCGTGTGCGTCTGCGTGTACGCAGACGTGGTGCTTGAGTCTTCGACGTTCAAAAGTCGTGCTCGAGAGTAGGCGAGTCAACAGCCACCGAGACCACACGTGTCACGTCAACTAAGGGCTCGGTGTTTGGCGTTTAGGGTTTGTGGTCCAGGCTCTGAGGTGCTTGAAGTTGAGGCGATGGCCGAGGCTCCGGGTTCGAAAGTTAGGCTTGAGACTACCCTAAGCCCTAACACCCTAAAAACCCTGTAAACACCAAAACGCGAAAACCCTAAAAACCTAACCCCTATAAACCTAAACCCTGGGCTGCTGGCAGCGAGGCTTCTCGCATACCCCCGCGCGCCAAGATCTTGGCCCGGAGCTCATTGGCAGGTTCTGGGCTCTCAGTCAGGGTATTCCAGAGGTTAAGGGTTTAGGGTTAGTTGTTTCTAGTTCTTGGTAGCCCAGTGAGGCCCCGTGGTACCCTTTTCCCCTTTTTTGGTTCAAGGCTTTGAAAGAGCAACCAACCCCAAAAAAGGGTGCCCTGATTAAAAGATAGTTACTTGGGCTTGAGACTTGAAGGCTAGCAGACTTGACTTCATCCTTTTTGCGGGCGCGGTCAATGGAGTTAAGGAATTCACAAAGAATCTTTGACTTTTTGGTTTTGTTGTGCTTTGGGCTGCTTTCTTTTTCTAGGGCTCGACAAGAGCAGGGCCATGCCGCTCGTGTCCTCTCATGCCATACAAAGAAACGCAAATGCTGCTCTGCGCGTTCGAATTCGGTTCATGTCCGTCTCATGAGCTTGGAGCAGTTCACCAGGATTCAATTCCTACCCCAATGAGTTCAGAAAGGAGGACCTGGAAGCCCTAAGCCAGTGAACCCCCTTGCGCCACTTTTTCTTGGAGTGGATCCCAATAGTGCAACTGAGCCCAAGGTTGAACCAAAACCCATGCCTGTATAGACGCCCATATTGGGCTTTCCGAACTGCTTTTCAAGGCTGAGGGATTTCTGTGTGGTTTTTTTGGGTACACTGGGAGCCCATATCCTGGTTCAAGAAAACCTCTTGCAGAGTGAGGTCTACAGCAAACCGTCAGACGACGGTCCGAGCGAGGCGACTCAAGCCTAAGCCGGCTTCAACTCTGCAGCCGGGTTTAGGGTGCACTGTAGGTTCGATTTATAAACCCTGGCTAAATCATCAAAACACTACTTCGTGGATACAGGGCTTTAAAGGCAGCATGCTTTAGGCTTCCAAGGCTCCTGGGTTAGGCTGCAAAAGGCTGGTTCTGGGCTGCGCTTCGCACGTGGAGCAGGCTTGGGGGGCTTCCACTGGTTTAAAACCCTTTTTGGGGTCGCCGGCAGTCCCGCTTACAGTGCCCTAATCGTGTAAGGAATTCGACCCCAAACCCAAAACCCTAAAGCCCCTAAACAGGCTACGGTTCCGGGTATTTCTGGGACGGCGGGCTTCGGGGTGTCAACTTATGCTTGGGTGTAGGGCTTAGTAAGCTGGCTATCTTCAGAACCTCGCACCTTACTTTGTTGTAGGTTCTAGTGAAGAAGAGCCCCTTAGATAGAAGTGTGTGTTTGGTTCTGAAGGTAGAGTTCAGTGGAAGCTATAGAGGCCTTAGTCATAGGTTTATAGGTTGCGTTGTGCTCACGAGGGCTTGGTTGCGTGTGTAGAAAGGAACACGGGGCTTACAGCTGATGGCGCGGCCATACAAACTCACGAAACGCAAGGTTGTTTGTACCGGGGTGCTTGATCCCCTGCGCCGCGAGGCGAACGCACCGCTGCCCGAGCCAGCGGAAGGCCCCCTTGGCTCCGCCAGTCTCCGCAAGCGCCTGGAGAAGCGGAAGAACTCGTCCAAGCCCTCCAAGTCCCAGGTCCAGGTCGAGATCCTGGTGGGGGCCCTGAAGAGGGGTGCCGTAGTACAATACTCGAAGTGCTTCTTGTGGGGTGAATGTTGGACCACGATCCAGGTCATCAGCAGCGACGAGGAGGAACAGGATGCCAAGCAGCCTGCATCGGACGGTGGGCCTGCGCCAGCCGATCCTCCTGCGGCATCGGCCGCACAGCCTTCAGAGTCGGCAAAGCAGCCGGCGGCATCCGCATCGGTGAGTCAGCCCTTGGAGTCAGTGGAGTCGGCCCAGCCTGCGGCGCCTGCAGTACTGGAGTCACTGGAGCCTGCACTGGCCAAGCGTTGCTGGAAGGCTGGAGTGATCAAGATTGAAGCTCGAGAGCATGGTTCTTAAACAACATTTTCTCTATGGTTCAAGTGCAAGAGAGAGGGAACAACAAGATCAATCAATTTTTAAAGGTTACTATGAACAGTCCAGGAAGGCGAGTCCAGCGCAGCCAGCGCAGCCAGCAGTGAGGCGAAGGGGCGCAGCGGCTCCCGTTTCGCACGCTGCCTGGCCAAGTGGCTCCAATGGGCAAAGAAGTTGCGGAGGATTGTTCGCAAGAGCCGCAGCATCGGAGGCCGGAAGTCACGGAGGACAAATCAGAAGCGCAAGCCAGCATTGAGGCCGAGGTCGAGCAGGATGAAGAAGGAGCTCCGCATGAAGAAGGAGTGTGTGAAGCAGAAGCTGAAGGCCAAGAGGCTCAGGGCAGGATCTGCTCGGCCAGTTCCGGACTTCTTCGAAGGCCCCAAACACAAGCGTGTTCGGGGCAACCGCAAGATCAGCCGCGGCCAGACGGAGAGCTCGGTGCCCTCCACGCCCTCCACACTGTGCATCTCGCAAGTTCCAGGCTGGTTGATGCGGGTGGTCCTCTATGCGGGGGATGATGCTTTCCCTGTCGCCTGCACACATCGCCTGGCTGCCTGGAGCATCTTGCGCGACTCCCGGCAGGTGTCCTCGGAGCTGCGCGCGCTGTCCTGGCTAGGCCAGGCAGGCCAGGAGGTGTGGGACGCAGCAGATGAGAGACTCCTGGACCAGATGCAGCGTGTGGTGCGCGTGCTCTCGGCACTGACTCCCCTGGAGGGCCCACAGCAAATGCCCCAGTCCGGTACTCGAAAGCGCCTGCGCCTGGACTACGCCCCACTGGACACCAGGAGGATTACGAAGCGCATCAAGCAGGAGGTGCTGCCGCGGAATGCAGATTGTTATTTGTAGTTGCTACCGTTCCTATAAATGGCTGGTATGACTATGTTGCTATGATTGGTTGCTACCGGTCTCGCTCGCAGCTCGCAGCTCAAGCATAGAGAAACACACAACAACGCAAAAGAGCGTCTAAACCCCAAAACCCCAAAACGCGCCTCTCTACCCCCACCCCACTCCTACCCCCACCCCCCTCTACCCCCCCCCTACCTGGACGGCATTCCATAAAGTGGATGCTTTGGACTCTGTGGCCAGGCGAAGGATGAGCTGGTCGAGGAGCGCTCCGGGCGGCTGTCCTCCGCTAGCTGCCAGCTGCGCAAGGAGGGGTCGAGTTTCGGGCCTATAGGAGATATAGGACTCAGCGTGAAGGTGTGACAAAAAAAGGCTTGCGGGCTTGAGCTTAGGAAGGCAACACATCCCCAAAGCAGGGTTTGGGGTCTAAGGTTTGGGTCTGCAGCCTATAGGGGCTGGTCTTTGGTGATGCTGCCAGTGTTACCGCTGGCTCGAGATGTTTGTTTGGTTACCCCGTGTTACCGGAATCCGTAACGGCCCCAACGTAGGACATTATTCCTTGCAGGGTCACATGGTCCTTGTTCTCGGGTGACCAAGCAGAGTCTTCATAACAATGGTTGGAGCTGCGACGCGATAAAAGTAGTTGGCATGATGCCGTTTTATTATGGGCATTGCAGGGGGCCTTGAAAGTCCTTTCCAAGAAATTATCCTTTTTGTTCTCCCAGCCTAGGGATTCGAAGACTCGAACCTTGAGAAAGCAATAAAAGCCCTAAGCCCATAGTCCTCAGCCCTACAGACGGCCTGCGCCCCCCAAAAGTGGCCCCTTAGGATCTCTTAAAAGATACCCCCAACTAAGGTACAGTAGTACCAGGGGTCTTTTCTAGGACCCGGAGTAGGCCCTTATTTCCTTTTTTAGGGCTGGGCTTCCCTTATACTCCCCTTAAACCAAAAAGGGTACCCTAATTTTCACTCCTGTGTCTAGTCGCCCTTAGACAGGGCGCTTTCCCTTTTTTGCCAGGAGGAGCTGGCGCAGGCCCAGAGCCAGCTGGATCAAGCGCGGGTGCGACGCGTGGAGCTGTTGCTCAGTAAGCTGCAGAGTAATGTGAGCCAGGCCCAGGGCCTCTAGAGGTGGCGATGGAGACTATAGCCCTCTTAAGGTTTTTGTGTTTTTATCCATATAAAACCCAAGGGAATACAAAACAATCGCTATCTTGGCTACCTTTAAAGTTTCTAAGGGGAGTATAGGACTTATGGAAGGGTCTATAGGATTTAGGGAAAATAAGGGAGACGAGTTTGAGGGCGGGGTTGAGGGATCGAGGCAAGGAGTGCGTCGTGGTGCTTCGTGCAGCTGAAGCCCTAAACCCGAATTAGAGCTTGGAAGGTGTAGCTGTCCTAATACGCAAAAAAGTTTGCATCGCCATCTCAGATGTGACTGCATAGCAATTAACAAGCGTCAGCAAGCAGTCAAGGCTGCGCGAAGAGGCACCCGTCTAGGAAAGACCTGTTCGCTGCGCACAGGCTGTGAGCGCAAGGCTTTGGCACCACAGCTTGCGGAGGGTTTCAGGGCCTACTCGATCAGGGGGCTCAGCTCCTCAGATCTGGCAAAGATATTAATATCAATGGGTTTAGGGTTTAGGGTTTAGGGTTTAGGGTTTAGGGTTTAGGGTGCCGAGCGAGTCGCTGTGCTGGCCGCCTTGCATACGCACATAGCGTGTAGAGATGGCAGCTTCTCGGAGTCGCCAGCTTGAACCTTCAGCGGCTGGGTTTGGGGTTTAGGGTTCAGGGTTTAGGGTTTAGGGTTTAGGGGAAAATTTTGAGAGACGGTCAGGCGGTCAAGGTTCGAAGTCGTTGTTGAGGATCCAGGGCTTTGCTCGTAGGGGCCCTGATTCCCTCTAAGCTGCTTGGGAGGTCCTCTACTACCCGTCTGATTGTCCGTTTCTTGTTGGGGTTAGTTCCCCTTTTTTTTTGCAAACTGAAACAAAGGACAAAGGAGCCCCTTCTTCGTGCTGGGGTTGACTTTGGGCAACCTAGAGACTTCGAGAAGCCGCCGGGTCGGTTTTGGCATTCCAGCGCCAGGATTGTCCAGTCAAGCCTGTCGGACTTGATGTTCTAGCCTTATCGGGTCATATGTCTGAGGTGATGAGATTGGTACTTGCATGGCCCCTGTATTCTTCTGTAGGGTTTAGGGCTACGGGGGAAGATCGAAGCCTGGGTTCATAAGGGTGAAGATCGAAAAGGGTGCAGGATTGACTGGCCAAGGCGTTGCCAGTCCTGTTGTCCAAATCTGTTGTGGGTTTTGCTGGCCATTCCTTTTGAGTCACGTCCAAAGACATTTAGATGTCAATGCTGCTGTTCCCATCATTCCGTCTGATGCGACTGGACTTTGCAAAAGGGTGGCCAGGGTACGTGAAGGTGATGCAGGTGGTTTTGCAGTGCTCTGCATACCAGCGCCTGTGAAACGCCCGCCTTGTGACTCGGTTGTCACTTGTCCTTCCGGACCACATCATGGCCTATGTCAAGCCCCACATGCCAATGAATGCCATGCCAAAAAGACCCAAAGCGTCCCATGGCATTTGCATGCAGAGAAGACATCCATCTAACTGCGAGACGGACTTCCCAAGACCTATCAGCTGTCTGGGCATCCCTCAGGTCCATTCTAGACGCCCAAGCAGTGGGCAGAAGCTGGATGAGGCGGGGCACTGGCTTTGAAACCGAGGTGGGCCGTCATCATCACAGAAACGCGTGCTACATTGTTTTGAGGTTGCATTCTGCTACGCAAAGGTCCATCTGCTAGTTTGGGGGTAAAAAACAGCCTTGATGCTGCCTGTGGATGGCTGTGAGTGGAGCTTGTGCTGCAAGGTTCACTTACTGCATTGTCGCCACCTACACCTACAGCTTTGGCCCCTTGCCACGCCTGGGGGTCTTCGACGCTCAAGTCTGAGGTTTGGGTTTGGTTTGTGGCCAAAAGGTTTGAAAGATGGCCGCAGCCACGTAAGTAAGTCCTTCTGAGAACCTCCACTCGATACACTTTGTTGACGCCAAGGTGGCGGCATTGCGCGAGATGTCATCGCAAGGCTCGTTGAAGGGCTCGACTCCAATCGGTGGGACTATGCCACTCTTTCCTGGGTGTTGTTTTTGTGTTATGTATGCCGTTCTAAGTGCCATGCCTTGGGATCTTTGAATCTTAACTTGCTGACACTAGGGGTAGGGGTTTAGGATCATGCTTAAGGTGCATAAGGTTTAGAGCTTTCAGGGTGCAGCGCATCCGAACTCTTAGTCTTTCCCGGAAGGCCGTCCGAGGGTTGAGGGCTGAACAGCGAGATCATCTTGGGCTTTGAGTGTACCTACCTCCGAGTGTTGCTACTGCATGGGGGTTCAAGCTTATGTGGATACTCGAAAGCCCTGCATTCAACCTCGTACTCGAAGGCACAACAAAACACAATAAGTCTGCTCCCTCTGACAACTAGCAGCCGCCCAGCCGTAACAAGAAAGGTGCTTGCTGGGTCCACCGGCGGGTGCCGCCATACCCTCAGCGCTCCTGTAAAGGAGCTGGGGTGGGTTTGCGGGTCCGGAATGGATTCGGCTCACAGGCTTACGCTTGTTCAGAAGTTTGTCCAGCTCACTGAAGTGCTTGGAGTCATCCGGTTCGCTGGTGGCTCGACAGTTCACATTCTTGCTCAGAACCAAGTGTCAACGAGCCCAGGAAGAAAGAAGACCTTGGAAAGTCAAAATAGAGTCCATGTGCAAGCGCTGCTGAACCCACCAGCTTTTGCCATGATAGTGGCTACTCCAAGCCGCAGCGGATGGAGGTTTCCGAAATTAGGGGGTGCCATTAGTATGGTCCTGATGATACGGAGGGAATCCTGCTATTTGCCTATCAGGGGTCCCTTATCTTCGTAAGCTGCCGGATGGAGCCGATAAGAACCCAGAATCTACGCGCTGAGCTGGACGCACTGCTCCAGAAGCATGGGGTGCATGGTGTGCCTGGGACCTGAGTTGGCACACTGCATAGTGGCTTCCCGATATTAAGTTCTATGTCGTTCGCCCCCATAACTAGGCTATTCAGGCACTTGAGGTTCGGATGTTTTTGTTTCCAGCCTATGTCAAGACGGGGTGCTTAACTGCCGTGGAGCCAAGGTCAGTATTGCCTTGAATGGTCCGGTGAGTCATCTCGATATCGCGGCGGGCACTGCAGATGGTTCGGCACCACTGACCCCACGGCACTGGATGGAACATGCCTCGCTGAGCAAGACGGTGGCGTCTGTGTTTGCCACGCAGTACTTCGCCGACAAGGGCATTCCTTTGACAGAGTCTGTTAACGTGCTTCTTGCCCGCACAGACTCGCCCTTTCGCTTGCGTGCCGGCAGTGGCATGCCAGAATCATGGGCGGACCGTGTCCAGCTACGTCATCTCATGGACCACAGCGGCCTTGGAATGCATTATGTGCATGGCGTTAAGCTCGACACCGACTTCCCACCGGTGCTCTCGCTTATCGGCGGCAAACGCAGTGACCTTGGCTATGAGGCCATCGAGGTCAATAAGGAGCCAGGGACATGCTTCGGCTATTCAGGTGGTGGCTTCCTGGTCTTGCAGCATCTCATAGAGGAGATGGAGGGTGTGGCTGCGGAGGTGGTGTGCCGCCCCTTCCTGGATATCGTGGGCCTCTCCGATTTCAGTTTCGACCCTCGCACTTTGCCCCGTGCACGCGGCCGCTACGCCCTCGGCTTTTCGGATGCCGGCAACGTCATCGCCCCTCCCGTCGGGCGCCTGGCCTTTCCGGCCTTCGCCGCCGGCGCCCTGGGCACACCCCGGGCGCTGGCCAACTTCTGGGCCGAGCTCATCGCAGCGTGTGCAGACCCCGAAGCGCACTCCCCAATCGCGCACGGGACAGCCATGGCAGTGCTGCGCGACTATGTGTGCGATGTTGGGTCGGTCGAGTTCATGGGGGCCTACATGGGTCTCGGGGTCTTTGTCATGGATGCTGGACCAAACAAAGTGGCCGTGCACCAGGCGGCAAACGAGGGATTCCGGGGAGTCTACATTGCCTGCTTCGAGGGCCCCGACGCAGGCAAGGTGATGGTGGTGCTCAGCAACGGGGACAACAACGCTGCCTTGCTCAACGCAGAGGTGGCGCGACTGCTGCTGCGCAGGTGGGAGTGGCAAGGCATCAACATGACCACACTTGATGCAGACACGGATTTCGCCTTCCACGGTATTCCGCAGGAGCAGATTGTCAATCAAGCATACAAGGCTCTCGTGTTCAGCGCTTTCCAACCTGGCCCTAGTAGGCCTAGCACTCTTAAGCGCTCGCTGGATCCAAACCCTGACCGGCAAACTGCAAAAGAAGCGAGCTGACATCGCCATCATTGTGGTGCTGCCACTCCGCTAACCTCAAAGCTCTCCTGAACTCTCTGAATAGCGGCGGGAAAGCACTTCGCTCGCCCTGTCTATGCCCTGTCTCCTCTTCTGCTGCATCCTGGTATGCGCCCGCTTTTGAGCTAGACTCGACCCTAATCCCTGATATCAAGGCGCGAATCTTCGTGGTTTCTGGCTGCTTTTGCGATGATGTGTCGACTGGTAGGTTTCGCAGCGGCTAGGAGCCATTGGCGCACATTCCTGGCCTGTGCTAAGGTCGGAAACCTTGCGGCGGCTGTGGTGCGGGTCTCGGGCATTCTCGATATACAACTCTAACATCCACAAGCTTCGGCAGGGGCAACGCCGGCGTGGCAACCGCAGCACCAAAGCTTTGTGACATGGGCGCAAGCTGCCCGGAACGAAGCCCGAACTCCCGTGTCCGACTGGCCAGAGCCGCACCACAGGCCCAGCACATGAACCGAAGATACCCGTATTTTCTTGACGGAGTCTGAGATAATGACTCAATATTGATGTCCAAAGCCTACCTACGTATATACACGCTGTAAGATCTACTGCCGAAAGGGTCTTATTTCGAAGATCGCGCAGTATCGCTGTGCTTTCTCCAACTGCCTTCGACCCTCAACCCTGAAGCCTAAAACCCTACATGAGCTCCAATCATTTGTCCTAAGCCCTTAGACGCGAAAATGTCTCCGAAAGTACTCCAAAACCCAAACATGAGCTCCTGAAAGCACACCAAAAAGCCAGAGGCCC